AATATCATTGATTAACAGTGTATAAGGAACAGTAGTAAATTAAAATGTTATAAAGAGTTGTTTGGACTAGTGTAAACTGCATATTAATTGTACACTTGCTGGAATTTTTATGGGATAATGCTCTGCAATTCTGTAAATTATTGTATTTGGAGTATGTTTTAAAGAGTATTTTGGACTAGTGTAAACTGTGTATGAATTTTTGTTGTGCCTAAAATTGGGACTTTTTAATACATGATGGAATTTTTATGGCATAATGCCCTGTAATTCTGTGAATTATGATATTTGTTACTTGTAAATTTGGACAAATGTAACTGTCTATTTTTGTATCTGAAATTGAGCTGGAATTTTTGCCTGAAATATATGACATTCTGGAATATTTTAACTGATCTGGTAATGAGCAAACTAACTGGAACTATTGATATTTTGGAATACCGTGGACTTGCAGGAATTGGGACTAATGTTTTGAAATTCTTAGAATAATGATTCTCTCTGAAAAAAGTATAATGTCAGAGAGTTGATGTTTTGTTAGGTGTGAAACTAGGAATCTTGTGAGTTTGCAGGAAATTTTGTCACTTGATGCTTTTAAATCATTCTTAAATGTAACATGAGCAGGATAATGTCATTCTTGATTAGTGTAAACTGTATCTTGAACCTCTAGAATAGATGTGATATTGGAACTCTTGCAGACTTGCAGGAATTTTTGCTATGATGTGAAATTATTGTGATATTCTGGAATATCAAAAAAGGATTTAGCATTTTTGCAAAGAAATCTGTGTTCATAACTAGCTATACTAAATACAAATTATTAGCTACTGTGGAATTCATTTTAGTTTGTATTGTTAAGGTAAGGGTATTGAATTTTGCATATTATGTTGGTCTTTGATGGAGATGCCTTTCCATTTTATTTAGAATTTAGATCTTAAGGGACAGGTATACCATTCTTTTTACTAATTGCACCTAAGTATTTTTTAGCTAAGCCAAATAATAATAGTGTTTACAGCTCACCGTTCAATTTTTTCCTTTAAATCCATGTGTGTCCCGAATTTTTCGCATTTTAAAGTTAAAAAGACATATCATCTTTTCTTGAGACACTGCCATATATAGAAAAGAAATTCCTAGTTTTGAGATAATTTTGAAGAAATTATGTGATTTTCGTACATGTCTAGTATTTCTGAAGATAATTTATATATATTCAAGAATCAAATCAACCCTCCAAAATGGCGCAAAATTGGGAGATTTTCTAAAAAAAAAAAAATCTGTATCGATAGCATCAATTTGCACAATTCCAATTTTCAATGAGACATCTGTGGTTAAGTGTTTTATGATGTCACTAATTAATAAATACGCTTCATCACATGGAACCCTTCATAAGTAGTCAAAAAACCTGGTTACAATCCCATAAGCAACTTGTATTATTTTAAATTGCAAAATAGAGACACTATTTGGAATAGAGTTAAGTAAGCTAATGCTGCTGTTTTGGCAAAATCAGCTAGTTGCACACTGTCAAGGACCAGTTGGAAGAAAGGATCCTTGTGAACCTACGTTGTTATCGTTATAAAAAGAAATTGGTGTTTTTTTTAGTTTTGTCTTTGCTTGTTATTGCCCATATTATATATTATTAGGTATGAGGGGCTGACATGGAAAAAGCGTCTAGTCGTTCGGATGGAACAATAAACCTATGCCTCGTGTTCTACAGGCTGTGCATGTTAAAGATCTCTCGACAGTAGGAAATTGATTAAGAGCAGGCTAATGCCATTGTCCTTGCAGAAGTTCCCTCATTGCACCCTGCATGGCATTGCCCGTCTTCATTAGCCCACATGGTGCAGAAAAGTAAAACATAAAACTCTATTTCATTTCATTTCATAAATTCTAGTTGTAGTGTCAAAGGTTCTTGTTTGCAAAATTATCCTAATTGCACACTGTATGCCATTGCACATATTCTATATTATTCCAATGAGGAGCTGAAAAGTAGAAGAATAAAAACTCAATCTCATTAAAATCCTGAATTAAGTGTTTAATGACATCATCAATATATTTGTATTACATAAGGCCCACCACGTTTAATGACGTCATCAAACATTTCATTTTAGTAGAATTTGATCATTGGAATGGTTCAAATTGATGCTATCAGTGTCACTGATACACATAAAAAATTAAGAAAACCACTTTACAATCTTTTTAATTGAAGCTAGAAAATCTAAAGAATAGAACATTTTATAACATTTTGAGGTATTAATACTAGATGTGGAGGATGGTGTTTGAAATAGCTAGTACTTGACAGTAGGAAGATATTGTGAAATACTCTCTCACTAGACCATTTCACAATAGATTTCAAAGATTGTTAGAATTGAATTAAAAAGTAAATGTCAAGTTTAATTCTCTTGATTCCATACACCCACATTTCTGTGTGTGAATATATTGATAGCATTTGCTTTGTCTATTGTTACTGATCATCTGTTTGATTATCTATTTAATAAGAAATTTACTTTAAAATGGGAATTTAAGCTGACTAACTTGATTTTGAAATATCTATTGAATACTTTTTAGAGCAAAGATGAAACTGAAGGAATTGAAAATCAGGCTATTATATAAAATTAGCTGCTACTGGTGTTTCGCCAGTTTGTTGTTTGGATTTTAGGTTTCGTTTTTGCCATTTGAATCACTAGTACTTAATGATTTTCATAAAATAATTATTACATCCTTTACGAACATTATTGGATATACCACGATTAATTTATCTGAAAGTTTCAATTAGAAAAATCCAGCCTTTAATTTTTAAGTACTATATAAAAAGTTTATGTAAATTTTTAAAACTCGCCATGTTTTTTGGAAGTTGTAAGAAAACTACTGTACAAGGAAAGTAAGTAAAATAAATACCTAATTTGTAGAGAAATATGTCTCCTATGTATTCTAAAGCTTTCAACTAATAATATCTAGGCATTGTTAAGACAAATACCAAAAACTAGGTCAAACTGCTTAATTAACAATTAGTACTCTCAGTTTTTATTAACCCTTTTAAAACAAATTCAGTTTGATCAAGAAGATACATAGATATAAATAGCACACTTTAGAAATATTTTCAGGAATAATTTAGGATGTTTTTGATGATAAATTATTTAACAAAAAAGTGGAATGCCCCTTTAAGATGTTAACATATATTGATAAATGATTTTTTAACAATTTGAAGCTTGCACACTTCCCATTTGAAATGTAAAAAACAGGACTGAAGTGTAAAGGTTGAACTGGAGATGTAATGTCAATTGATATTTGTGTCAACTGAAAGATGTAATGTCAGGTGATTGTTGTAAATGTCAAAGGCAGTGATGAAATTCTGTCTTCTATAATTAGTAATATCATGTTTTTAGAGTTATCTTAATTGATATCAAAAGAAGTTCTAAGATTTTCAGATAAGAACATCTTTAATTTTGATTTTGGATAAGAACATCTTTAATTTTAATTTTGGATAAGAACATCTTTAATTTTAATTTTGGAAAAGTACATCTTTAATTTTAATTTTGGAAAAGTACATCTTTAATTTTAATTTTGGATAAGAACATCTTTAATTTTAATTTTGGAAAAGTACATCTTTAATTTTAATTTTGGAAAAGTACATCTTTAATTTTAATTTTGGATAAGAACATCTTTAATTTTAATTCTAGAAAAGTACATCTTTAATTTTAATTCTAGAAAAGAAAATCTTTAATTTTAATTTTGGAAAAGTACATCTTTAATTTTAATTTTGGATAAGAACATCTTTAATTTTAATTTTGGAAAAGTACATCTTTAATTTTAATTTTGGATAAGAACATCTTTAATTTTAATTCTAGAAAAGTACATCTTTAATTTTAATTTTGGATAAGAACATCTTTAATTTTAATTCTAGAAAAGAAAATCTTTAATTCAAATTTACTACCTTTAAAAATGTACCTTGAAGAAAATCGTTGTTGAAAATTCTGCAGAGATTTTGGTTTTCTTTAATTTATCATTCTAGTCTAGTATGTCTTTCTGTTTTTTCTCTTGTGACTTGGTTTGAACAGATGATGACTGACCTCAAGGTTAGATGTTTGGGATTCAGAAGTTTTATCCCAGTTTATCCTGTAGGGGATACAGGTTAAGTAGGTTGAAATGGAAAAGCAGTGAAAAGTTTGGCTAGGATAAGAAGTCTGTGATGTTCAAGATCCCCTGCACTGCACATTGTCTTCAGTAACCTTTTTATGAACTGAAAATCCTATTCCTTTTATTTCTACTGAAAGAGGATCTAGGTCTGCAGATTTCATTATGGGTAAAGACTCAAATGTTTGATCTCTTTGTTTCTGAAAGCAAAAAGCTGACTTATTTCTGTTAGACAGAATGACAATTTTGTAAACATAAACCTTATTTATAAATATACTGTTTACATTGTGGATATATACACTGGAAAAGTATATGTAAGTTAAAAATCAAATTATTATCATAATTATTAGTAAACATACAACAGATCTATACCAGCATGTAAATGAAATGATTCATAATGGACATTATACAAATGAGCTTTATATTTTATGTTTTGTATTTGAATAATGTTTTGTTAAAGTGATTTTTGATGATCATAGCTTGTTCATTTCATTAAAATTGTTTGATTGTAATTCAGTTAATGGTTTTTGTGATTTTTCTATGTTTACACATAAGTCATAGATATTTCATGATTTGCTGTCATTTATACTGCAGTAATATTTGCACAAATACACACAGAATAGTCCCAAATTTGACCCAATATAACCCAAGATCAAATGATTGTAGTTCTGTAAAGCCGTGTATAGTAGATACGTTGATAGTATATTTGATAGATAAGTTGAACTACAATTTTAAATGCCTGTATGGGCAATGACTCTGTTGATGGACATGACCGTTGGTAGACATAACTGTTGATAGACATGACTCTGTTGGAAGACATGACTCTGTTGGAAGACATGACTCTGTTGGTAGACATTAGTCTGTTGATGGACATACTCTGTTGATAGATATGACTCTGTTGGTAGACATGACTCTGTTGGTAGACATGACTCTGATGGAAGACATAAGTCTGTTGGTGGACATACTCTGTTGGTAGACATGATTCTGTTGGTAGACATGACTCTGTTGATGGACATGACTCTGTTGATGGACAAGACTCTGTTGATGGACATGACTGTTGGTAGACATGACTGTTGATAGACATGACTCTGATGAAAGACATGACTCTGTTGGAAGACATGACTCTGTTGGAAGACATGACTCTGTTGGTAGACATTAGTCTGTTGATGGACATACTCTGTTGGTAGATATGACTCGTTGGTAGACATGACTCTGATGGAAGACATTAGTCTGTTGATGGACATACTCTGTTGGTAGACATAACTCTGTTGATGGACATGACTCTGTTGATGGACATGACTCTGATGGAAGACATGACTCTGCTGATGGACATACTCTGGTGGTAGATATGACTCTGTTGGTACACATTAGTCTGTTGATGGATAAGACTCTGTTGGTAGATATGACTCTGTTGATGGACATGACTTTTTGGTGGAGGACTTATTACTATGGTGAGTATTGAAAGCTCTGCCAGCCTTCAGTACCATCACCTACAGCTAGTCTACAATTGAACTTTAGGAAATTCTTTTCATATAGTTTACATAGCTAATAATGTCTCTGTAGGTCTTTCTATTGATGTGAGACTGGAAGTGTTATGAATAGACATAATTCTATTAATGTTTCTTATGTCCAGACAGTTCACTATGATCTTCTAGTTACTTATTGTGTCGTTGACATTTACTACTGGACATCAGAGAGAAATCAAAGAGCTGTCTTATCCAATCTATAACCCTCATAAATGTGGACTTATTGATAATGAATTCCAAAGGCGATTGTCAAAGATTTTGACATTCTAGTCCTTATTACACAATAAAAGACACTATCTTATCATTTTGTACAATGAAAGAGATACATTTTGTCCTACCAGCTAAAAAAGCAATTTCAACTAACCATATCACCTTTAAGAATTAAAATCAGTCATATGGTTCCAAAAACAAACTATACTGCAAATATTATTATCTTAATGAATGTTAGCTATTTGGATGGTGACAACTTGTGTTTCTGTAGTAGTTTTTTGTTGGAATTATAGGAATTATTATTTGTAGACAGGAGCTTTGAGTTGTCTCGAGGACAACCTATGAAATAATAAGGAGAAAATTCTTCCATTTTCATGACATTAATTGACGAATCTGTTGAATATTGTTAAACAAATATTGTTTAAAAATTAAAAATTTTAACTAGATTAGGTAAATGTATTTCCAGAAAAAACAAGAGTGACAGTAAATGGATTCCTCATGGACACCTTGTCATTTATTGACATATTCATCCTTCAAGAAATTCTGCCTCATTGTTGTAAAGTCAATAAAAACTTTATTGAATTGACCTGGGTCCAACATGTATCAGTTCTCTCTCTTCTAGCATTCCTAATTCTGTTAGCAAATATGCAAGGAGAACTGCATATCAAGGGTGGGTTTCTTTGTTTGAGTGAAACAAAGGGACAGGTTTGCCATCCTTTTGACTAATTCTACCTTAGTTTCAGACACTGGAATTATTTAGCTAAGCTGATCAAAAATATTGTTCATAGTTCACCCTCGAAATTGAAGCCTTCAAATCCATATGTCCATAATTATCTATTTGAGTCAAAAAAAGGTGTGTCCCTGCCATATAAAGAAAAGACATCTATTGAAAAAGAAAAAGAAAAAGAAATTCCTAGTTTGAGATAATTACGAAAGAAATTACTTCTGAAGCCTTCTAAATTCAAGACTCAAATCAACCCTCCAAATTTGCAAATCTGTCCCTTTAAAGCACGACATGAAGACTTCAAACTTCATTCAGGAATGTTATGGTTGGTATAGCGAAAAATATTACAAATCTCTTTCTTTAATCTTGGCTGATTTGATTGGTCAGGCATAAATAGATCTGATTGTATCTCATGATGTTGTCAGTGGCAGATTGCGAGAAGCAAAGTATGTTTATTCTTTTCGAAAACACCTGATGGTACTTCTCTTGGGAGGAGTCCACTACTATAAAGCTTTCACTCTCAATTTTGCCAGATTTTGAATGATGGAATTGTCTTGCTTGTACAAATTTTATTTATTAAAGATGATATTTTTTTTACCATATATTGTTATTTTACTCTAACCAACAAGTCATCACTGAAGTTTAATCATAATAAAAATCAAACAAGCCTACGGCATTTATAAAATCACTGCTGAATATGATGAAAATGTTGTGAAGCAGAAAATCTTCAAACTATGAAAAAGGATGAGATAAAAATCACAATGTGGAGGCAGATCAATAGAATTTTATTACTTTCAGTGAGTTTCAGAGAAAACTGGCATAACCTGCAGGCAGATGATTAGAACAAATCCCAATACGCCAATGATGTGATTAAATATGCATTAGTGCTTCTATTGCATACACATGACTTCATATAGTTCCCAGGTCAGCTTGAAATTGCTTGTAAATGATATATAGAAAGTGTTTGCCTTGATTTAACTGCAAAATTTTGACACTTATGTAATTTTTGCATGTGGAAATTACTTCCTGTTTGTAAAATTGCTCACAGTATCAAAAAGAACTCATGCAACTGCATACAGTATTATACATAGGCTGGAGGAAATATGCACATAGTCCAAAAAAGTGTATGACCTAAATTTACTTACGTGAGTAAAATCTACACGAGTTCATGCATCCATACTGTCAAATTCCTTTAAATATGTCCTAAATGACAATGCTGTAAGAAAACCTGAGAGCCGCGGTGGCTCAGTGGACGCTTGCTCGCGTAGTAAGAGAGGCTGACATGGAAAAAGCGTCTAGTCGTTCGGATGGGACAATAAACAGAGGCCCCGTGTGCTTCAGGCTGTGTACGTTAAAAATCCCTCGACAGTTGGAAATCGAAAAAGAGCAGGCTAATGCCGCTGTCCTGGCAAAATTTCCCTCATCGCACCCTGCATGGCGATGCCCATCTTCATTAGCTCACATGGTGCAGAAAAGTAGGACGTAAAACTCCATTCATTTCATTTGTAAGAAAACCTTGAAGAAATATTTCATTTTGATGTTTTGTTAGATGCAGAAATACACACTGAATTAATTGGAACTTTCTTATGGTTTATTTCACAAAGTAAACGAAGAAAATATGTCAGTTAATCCTTCTTTTTCTGTACAGGCGCCTTTACTATGGAATAATCTGCCATTTAGTTTAAGATCAATTACCTCCGTTTATAGTTTTAAGAAGAAATTAAAAACACATCTCTTTACTCTGGCCTTTTCATAGAGTTCAAGTTTTAAAATTAATAATGTATCATAAGTTGTCTATTTGTATTTTGTTGTATTTTGTTGTTCATGCTATATGTTTCCCAGTACTTTATTTTTTTTATTTTTCATGTATTTAGTTTTTTTTTTATGTATTTGGGCCTATATTGTACAGTGTACTTGAACACAAATGTGAAAGGTGCACGATAAAAATCGTATATTATGATTATTATTAGTTTATTTAAGTGAGATTCTGCTAGGTCTTGTGTACTTTAGATTGAAATGGGGAAAATTAGACTCATACTACTGTTGTGGAAAACTTCTCCACATTGAATGGCTAATTATCCTAAAAAGTAGCAAGAAAAATACTGAAAACTAGGCCACTCCATTAGATTTTCCTTTCATTTTGAACCAGAAATATGCTGCCTGACCCAGACAACAATTATGTGAAATGAAGAACTCCGATATAGACAATAGTATAAATTGAGTTTTGTATTGTGTTAAATCTTATTGTATTTTACTTTATATTCAATTTATTGTTAAAAGCTAGTAATGAAATGTAGTGAAATCTGATAAAATAGAATCAGGTTTGTCTATATTTTCAATGTATTAAAATAGGAAAAAATCAATTTATTTTCCGTGAATAATCCAGTACTATCTTGAGGTTATGAATTTAACAGAAAGCTTTTTTTAATAAATAATTGGGAACATGTAATTATTCTCTTAGACAATGCATTTATTTGTTAAAAAATAAAACTTTGAAAACACTGTCTGTCTCTATAGAAAAACACTGCTTGACTTAATAAAAATAATATCTGACTCTTTGAAAGCAGCTATGAAAATGGCTACGAAAGACTCTATGAAAACGGCTACGAAAGACTCTATGAAAACAGCTATGAGAACAGCAATGAATGACTCAATGAAAACAGCTATTAAAGACTATGAAAACAGCTTTGACTCTATGAAAACAGCAATGAATGACTCAATGAAAACAGCTATTAAAGACTATGAAAACAGCTTTGACTCTATGAAAACAGCAATGAATGACTCAATGAAAACAGCTATTAAAGACTATGAAAACAGCTTTGACTCTATGAAAACAGCAATGAATGACTCAATGAAAACAGCTATTAAAGACTATGAAAACAGCTTCGACTCTATGAAAACAGCTATGATAATACTGTCAATGTTTGACTCCATCAAAATAAATTCATGATTCGTTTGAAATGAAATCGAAACTTTTTCACACTATTTGCTGGCATCATCTGCAATTACTCTGTAAGATGTTGAAATCTTTAATCAATGTTACACAAACATCGAAATTACTAGTATTGCAAATGAAGCATGTGTATAAGATATCTAGTGTATCTCAGCATAAGATACACTCTCATTATGTCTTATATTGTTGTATTGATTTCTTTCCCTTCCTTTCAAAATATACTATACTAGATCTTGAAACTCATTCTAGGTGACAATATACAGACAGGCTGTCTACAGTATTGTAACAGTTATTAATGTTATATTAATCACCTATTTGGCACTAATATTCTAATAGAACTATGATATTTTGGATTAGTAATTAATGCATAAGTGCATGCCAGTAATTGAAGGTACCGTATTGAAATTTGACTATAGTATTTTTTGTGGTTCTGAAGATATTGAATTTTGACAAAAATGTTTTCTGTGGTTCCTGCAATGATCTTCTGATATTGATTCAAGTGATTGAACAGGAATTTTCAGGGTCACTCTGAGCTTATATTAGAATGACCAAGATATAAGGGATTGTGGATTAATGAAAGGGTTAATGTTTAAGTGCATGCAAGTAATTGAAGGCATTGGATTTTGATTACGATATTTTTAGTGATTCCTGCAATAATCTTCGCGTCATGTGTATTACTTATAGCTTGTGTTGGCACAACCATTGTTAATGAGATGTTGGAATATTCTTTAATGCAAAATAATTTCAAGTTTTGGTTAATGACTAATATGTTCTGTGGCACCAACTAAAATACCATTTGACTGAAATGGCACAAGCATTATAAGTGCAGCACTGTTATTTGTCATGAATATTTCATTTCATTTTAATTTTTTTTGACTATGATTTAATTTGTAAGTGCATGTGACACAATAATGGATAATATTGATTTTGGATCAATTGTTCCATGCAATTTCTCCAATGGATTTCTAAAACTTAAAGAAATTAAATAATGGTTTTCTAGCCCTTGAGTGTCTGTGATTTTCGCAATCAATTACTGCTATGTAAAAAGATTTGAATGGGGTGGTTTTCTAGCATTTGTGGGTGTCTGATACGTTTATGGCTTCTCTATGGACTATTCTGATTTCTCATTTGTGGTTCCTATAATTCCATGAAAACTTAACTAAATCATTATGTTCAAATGCCTGACAGATATAGATAACCTGTCTTAAGGCTTTTACACATGACATCAATTGCTTGGTTACATGGAACAAATGGTGGTTGCAAGTTTGATCTTGATTGGCATGTGAAAGTCCTCTGAACTTGAATAAGTCATCTTCACTCAAAATTCCAGTTGACCTAGCTGTAAATTGGTATGCATAATTTGAGAAAGATCAATAAGATGTTTAGCCAGTGACCTGATTTCTTTCCGAGATTTAAAATTCTGTCAGACCAACAGGATGATGTCAAGTTTTAGTTTGAAAAGTTATTTAAATATATTTATTTATATTGTAGAAGGTGAAATGGAGAAAGAAGAAGAAGAAGAACATATTATGATGCCAAGAAGTACCTCTATGGATTTGATATCTAGTGGTGATGAATATTATGTTGATGCTAGATCTATGTTGAGTGAAAATCTTGAAGGTTTGTATTGTGTTTTGTGATTTAGTTACTCTATCTCAAATTTTACTTTCAATGATGCACTATTTGCATTGAAAGGTGGCAGCAAATTTTGGTTATCTGTTGTCAACTAATTTTAGTATTTTTTGATTACTGAGTTGTATTCTATAATTAACTGAATCTATTGAGATGTTTTAAATACAACTCACTATCAATTCTACTAATTATTATGGTTTTTGATTACTGAGTTGTATTCTGTAATCAATTGAATCTATTGAGATGTTTTAAATACAACTCACTATCAATTCTACTAATTATTATGGTTTTTGATTACTGAGTTGTATTCTGTAATCAATTGAATCTATTGAGATGTTTTAAATACAACTCACTATCAATTCTACTAATTATTATGGTTTTTGATTACTGAGTTGTATTCTATAATTAACTGAATCTATTGAGATGTTTTAAATACAACTCACTATCAATTCTAAACTAGTGTCCAAAAGAAACGATACCGACTTATTTTCAAAATTGTTTTTTACTAAGTGAATTGTCTAATATGAAAACATGCCAATTCGTATTGCACATCCCAAACACAGCATAGTCGATAAAAATACCGGGAACACGTGATCACTTCCGGGAAAAAACGTAAATTTCATGAAAGTGACATTTCCCTCTCTAGCATGTTCTGCACGTGCATAAAAACTGTATAAAACGGCTGATCAGACACGTTGATATCACAGCAACAAAAAGAACACAAGATATGCCACGTTTGACAGCCATTGAGAGAGAGAGCCGTTGGAATGGTCCAACAAGGAGCGACACACGTCGACGTCTCCAGAAGGTTGGGCTGCGCACGCATCACTATCACCAGGTTGATGCAGCGGTTACGTCAGACAGATCAGACGTCAGACAGGCCCAGGTGTGGAAGACCACGAGTAACCACGGCCCGTGAAGATCGTTACATTCGGGTATTACACCTGAGGAAACGCACCGTAACAGTGACGTCCATGGCGGCTACAGCACTGGGACACAGGATCAGTCGACAGACCGTCTACAGGAGACTACGGCAGTATGGTATCCGGCCACGTCATCCCTACCGCAGACCGCTCCTGACGTCTCGACACCGGAACAACAGACTGATCTGGGCCAGGCGAGTTCGACGTTAGCAACGGCGGGACTGGGCACGTGTTATGTTCTCTGATGAGAGCAGATTCCTCATCTTCAAAAACGATGGACGGCAGCTTGTATACCGACGATTTGGTGAACGTTTGGCGCCTAACTGTATCCAACAGGTCTGGCCGTTTGGAGGTGGAGGGTTAATGGTTTGGGGTGGCATATGTGGTGTCGTCAAAAAGAGGCTTGTCGTAATTCGTGGAAACCTGAATGCACAGCGTTATATTGATGACATCCTACGGCCTGTTGTGGTGCCCTACAGCCTCGTGGACTCATTTTCCAACATGACAATGCAAGGCCACACACAGCAAGATTGACACAGAACTTCCTTGCCAACGCCAATGTACAGGTTTTGCCATGGCCCGCATGTTCACCGGACATGAATCCCTTAAGCACTTATGGGACCACCTCAATCGGCAAATCCGACGTCGCCGTGTGCCTCCAGTCAACGTCCAGGACTTGGAACGATGTCTCCTCGAGGAATGGCAACGCATCACTCCCAACGTCATCATACGTTTGACGGCATCAGTCCATAGGCGTGTTCTGGCATGTATTGATGGTCACGGTGGACATACCCGCTACTGACTTGACTTTGTGACGTGTGGTGTGACATTTCCCGTTGTTTCTGTGATCAGTGCTCTAACGAAATGTTCTTTTTTCGACCCCACCCATCTTTAAAGGCTTGTCATATTGGATGTACAGATTTAATTGAAATGAAATTTTTGTACAGATGTTGTGAAAGGATTTCTCAAAAGCATAACACCAATCCTAAACTTCTGCATTGTTTAGTTTTTCTTTTATGTCGTTGCAAACAGGTGGTATCGTTTCTTTTGGACACTAGTTTACTAATTATTATAGTTTTTGATTACTGAGTTGTATTCTGTAATCAACTGAATCTATTGAGATGTTTAAAATACAACTCACTATCAATTCTACTAATTATTATGGTTTTTGATTACTGAGTTGTATTCTATAATTAACTGAATCTATTGAGATGTTTTAAATACAACTCACTATCAATTCTACTAATTATTATGGTTTTTGATTACTGAGTTGTATTCTGTAATTAACTGAATCTATTGAGATGTTTAAAATACAACTCACTATCAATTCTACTAATTATTATGGTTTTTGATTACTGAGTTGTATTTTGTAATCAACTGAATCTATTGAGATGTTTTAAATACAACTCACTATCAATTCTACTAATTATTATGGTTTTTGATTACTGAGTTGTATTCTGTAATTAACTGAATCTATTGAGATGTCTTAAGTACAACTCAGTGTCAATTCTACTAATTATTATGGTTTTTGATTACTGAGTTGTATTCTGTTATCAACTGAATCTATTGAGATGTTTTAAGTACAACTCACTATCAATTCTACTAATTATTATGGTTTTTGATTACTGAGTTGTATTCTGTAATCAATTGAATCTATTGAGATGTTTTAAGTACAACTCACTATCAATTCTACTAATTATTATGGTTTTTGATTACTGAGTTGTATTCTATAATTAACTGAATCTATTTAGATGTTTCAAATACAACTCACTATCAATTCTACTAATTATTATGGTTTTTGATCACTGAGTTGTATTCTATAATTAACTGAATCTATTGAGATGTTTTAAGTACAACTCAGTGTCAATTCTACTAATTATTATGGTTTTTGATTACTGAGTAATATTTTGTAATCAACTGAATCTATTGAGATGTCTTAAATACAACTCACTATCAATTCTACTAATTATTATGGTTTTTGATTACTCAGTTGTATTTTGTAATCAACTGAATCTATTTAGATGTCTTAAATACAACTCACTATCAATTCTACTAATTATTATGGTTTTTGATTACTGAGTTGTATTCTGTAATTAACTGAATCTATTGAGATGTTTTAAATACAACTCACTATCAATTATCTTTCAGTTTAAGAGATTTACTTGAAATTATGAATATTAACTTTTCTTACAGAATCTAATTTTGGTCGAAGAGTGGAACATTTTCGTCAGATATACAGTTTAGATGGTCATGTTGCTGGTGGTGGAGATATTACACCTCCTACATCAGCTGTTTGTCCTACTAAAGTTCTATTTATAGTTTTACATGGAGGTAAGTTATACCAGAGATAAAATATGCATTTTGCAAACACCTTGAGATCTTCAAATAATATATGACAAAGTTCCTTGTTAAAACAGTTGAAGCCACTGATTTTAATAAAATATCTCACAGAGATTGATCAACGGTCAATGCTTTGATTAACTGTTTTGGTGATATATTCTTTGTCTTCGATAAAGCACATTCAATTCTGTTTCTTTGCACTAGATCCAAGTCAGTTATGCCTTCTGCTTGTAACATTGTAATTTCTGATTTGACGTCTGTCATTCTTGTAATTCCAGAATATCTTGAGATAATCAGTATATACACCACAATTGTAAATACTTTTTGGCGTGAATATTTTTCAAGGCTAGAGACATCAGGATATGATTATTGCCTGGGGTCTTATGTCTCTTAAAAATAATTTCAACATTCACTTCATCTGATTGGCCAACCGTTAAAATTTCTTTTAAATTTAGTTTTATAGCTAAGATTTCAAAGATAAGGTCTCTGATACATTTTTTGAATTTTTTCAATGATTTATAATCTTTGAATGCATTTTCAGGCAGTATTCTCGATTCATCACATGAAACCACATCTAAAAGAAGTGATTTTGCTACATTAAGATCAACATTTGATTCTGTTATACAGAGTCATTATCAAGCTGCTATGGGACAAATAGCATTTAGATTGGTCTCCTGTCCATTAATCTGTGCTGATACATTAAGTGTATTGTCCAGGTCAGTATTTACATATTGTCTTCTATTTGACCTCTATTGACAGCAATTTCAAATTACACACATAGTAGAACAGAGATGTTAATGTGAATACTGTTTACAATTCCATACATTAGCAATAACAGAAATGTAAGGGTCCTACATTAGCACCGAAAGGAAAAAATATTTTTATGTAGTAATATGTTTTCTGATTTCTAGGAATTGAAATCTAAAAATATTCCTTGTTATATGTTTTATCATACCCAGAATTTTGATCACTGTTTGGGGAAGTTGGATTGAAAAATTTGTGGGGATTATCACTACCTCTGCCAAAATTGAATTTATTCTTTCATATTATGTAGCAAGCCTCTTTGATTTTTTTGTCATTTATTTAACTCTATTTTTTTTATTTCCAGTCTCAGTCCCTTTGGTTTAGACTGCCAGAGTCCAAATTTTGAAAGCAATTTAACCATGAATCAAGACTTTGTTCCACTTGGTGCCATCAGTTTGTTTGCATCATCTAGTCTTGAATATCAGGAACATGTTGGAACCGTTATTACTAAAGTTAATACTGTTTACCAGGAATTTTTACAATCTGAAGATGGTCGTGGATTCTCTGGACAGGTAAAAGATCTATGATTCTATTTTAATTACATGTGGATGTTTTGTGTTTTTCTGTGGGTAATTCACTCAGCATCAAAAATACTTTTAACAGTGGGCTAACAATACATGTATATGTTTAAAATTAATGTCCCAGGATGTGGAAGGGACATTTGATTGGTTGATTTTACAAGTTCCCTACAAATTGTGTTGCATAAGAATATTGTCAGATCTTTAAGACACCTGATCAGTTTTGCTTTCATTTGATGTTCATTATTTTATAATTCCAAATTTATTTTTCAGATCTGTTTCTTAGCTGATTCAACAGGTTCATTAATGGCTTATGATGCTTTGGCAAGATCCACACAACAAATGCGTAGTCGGTGTGGTAGTCATAACAGTCTTGAAAATGAAGACGAGGTCGTCAAGTCAGTTAATCCTGAATCTCGCGTCATTAGTCAAAGTGATCCAGACTTACCTCAAAATGTTGGAAGTAAAACATCTATTAAAATAGAACGTAGTAAAAGTGAAGTGGCACCCCCGGAATGTGAACTAGAGCGACCACATTTTACTAGACAAAGCTCAGGACCTCGTTTAAATGTGAACAGAACTGATTTGGGTACATCACGGAGAACTAGTGCTGGTAGCTATTTTGATTCAAATCTACAGTTTGACTTTGATGTATCTGATCTCTTTATGTTTGGTTCACCATTAGCTATGGTATTAGCTTACAGACGTCTCTTTACTGGAGATGATAAACATAGTATGTATAGATTTATATTACCTATTGAATAAAATACCTTTCATCACAAAAATAGTAAGACAAGAAGAAAGAAACCACTATATTTTACATGGAAAACAACTTAGGTTCATAAAGGATCCTTTTCGATCAGTTGGTCCATTGTTGAACCTTTTGGCATTGATCTTTCCTTGATTATCAGTACCCATTTACAGCTTGGTCATCTGGAATTATGAGTGAAGATGACTTGGGAAAACAAGGGTTAAATTCCTAATATTTGGACTTCAGTTATATGTAAGAAAAATGTCACACTCCTAGCAGAAAACCACTCTTTAACTGATATTTTATTTTCCAGGCCCACCTCTACGCCCATCTTGTCATCAAGTATATAATTTATTTCATTCTAATGATCCTACTGCATTACGACTTGAACCATTACTACATGCTAACTTTAAACATATAGAACCTATTAAAATACCTAGACATAGTAAATTTCCATTGGGGGATGGAGAGTCTATACACGTGGGTGAGTCAGATTGAATTTATTGATTTCTAAATAAAGTGATTTGTAGATAATGTGATTTCTAGATAATTTGATTTCTAGATAATGTGATTTCTAGATAAAGTGATCTCTAGATGCTTCAAATGATATTATTTCAATATGATTTCAAATAATATTGTCTGCTATTTATATTACTGAATTTGCTTTAGTAGATTGGACCAAGGGTATCAAGAAAGGCATCCAAAACAAATCGCAATAATTAATACAGAAACAGCTATCCATAGTGCATATGAGTTTCTTTTGTTCCAGTTGTTAGGTCTTCTTAGCATTTTCTAATGTAGAAACACTGTATCATTTAAAAAACAAGTCTGTTTTACAATGCCCTGGGGCAGAAAATATTGCTGTATTTTCAATGTAACAAAAAAAAATTGGCTAAATCAGTGTCAAATCTGACTCACAATCTTTAAGATCTCATATTGGTATGGCTGTTAATTTAGCTTAAATGGTGTTGGCTAAATAGAATTCATTAAACAGATTGGAAAGAGATTTTCTAAATTTTGTATGTATATCTGGGATACTGATAGCCCTGTGAAGGACCTTATGTGATAAAGCAAATTTTGCTACAAGTGACGTTATTAAACACTTTCTTTTAGTGTAATTGCAGGAACTACAGAGGAACTACAGATGTCTGATTGAAAATTGGAATGGTGCAAATTGATGCTTTCAGTGTCCCTAATACACATGAAAAATTTAGAAAACCTCTTTACAATCTCTTTAATGATTAACAATACTTTTAAAGTGTATGGAATTTACTAATTTGATATTATTAATTTCTAGTTGAAGCAGTACAGCAATGTTTAACTTTATTTAATGATGGTCACAGACAATCAGTATCTCCTGGTCATCCAGTGGGTTTATTACAGAGACAATCTAGTTCTTCTAGTATAACTAGTGCTACATCAGGTGTTGGTGAAACTACAGTAGCTAGTATTACTAATGGTAGGTTATTACTGAAACTATCTTGTGGTTTTACTAAACTTTATTAGGCAATTAGTGCTTTTTATTTGGAAGGTAGGGCACACAATGCTGTCACACCTTTTGTCAGTCCTTATATCCCTTAGTCAGTCCATCTGTTCACATTTCAACTCATGCTTACCATGAGATATTCTTTTCATTTTTATACGCCCACATCTCTCTATGTGGACGTATATTGTCGGCACCCCTGTCCGTCCATCCGTCCGTCAACATTTGCTTGTAGACGCTCTAAAAACTAGATTTTTTGATGGAATCAAATGAAATTCGTTATGTGTATATGGCTGTGGTCCGCTATCTTTGATTTGTTAGTTGGCTATAAAAGCAAAACTTGTGCCTATCAATATTTGTGATGATCAGACAATTTTCAGCATAGAACTTGAAGCAATTTTGTAGAATAGTACTGATGCCATCATACAGTTTTGGGCAGATTTCTTTTGTTTGATTTGTAAGCATGCTTTAAGGCGCAGATGATACCTATCATATCTTTATGATAATCAAACAAAAGGACTTAAAAAGACTGTCAAGCTAAACTAAATTCATCTAACTATAGTTAAGCTTTCATAAAACATGTCGTGATATAAATCGTAATGGTTATTCTTTCATGGGAATGGGCAATGCAAATACCATGGATATCAAGTACAGCAGATTTTACAAGTTTAATGGTATAACTAACTTAACCTAGACGTAACCCTTCTTAATAATATATATATTTCAGTAACTAGTAAATGGTGGGGTAATAAAAGAGTAGATTATGTATTATATTGTCCTGAAGTACTTCATTCCTTCCCTGTATCAGCTCTTCCTCATCTATTCCATGCTAGTTTCTGGGAATCAACTGATGTGGTAGCTTTTATACTCAGACAGGTTAGTATTACAAGTATTTTGGAATTTTGGTTTTAAAGACTGTTTTTTTTTAATTTGGGCTATCATCATTAGTTTACGACTTAAAAGCAGAAAATTTGGATGTAAAACTCAATTTTTTAATGGTGGATATTCACCAAAATACACCTTGAACAGGATAAATTCTGTTGAGAGGATGATATTCAATGGCTTCTGGTTCATAAGATATGATATTTTTGCTACTTGATGTTATATAAGATGTAAGTTTGGAAACTTTGTGTAACTTCTAGATCTTTTTCTAGATTTTGCTACTTGATGTGATATGAGATATAACTTCTATATTTTTTTCTAGATTTTGAGACCTGGATTTTTTTTATGTTTTCTAGATTTTGAGACCTGGATTTTTTTATGTTTTATAGATTTAGAGACTTAGTTTTTTTGTTATGTTTTATAGATTTTGAGACTTGCTGTGCTATTAGATATAACTTATAGATCTTTATATTTCTAAATTTTGAGACCAATATCCATTTTATGTTTTCTAGATCTTGAGACTGGATTTTATGTGAAAATGCAAATCATTTTATATTTTTATAGATTTTGCGACTTGATGTGATATTAGATGGTGATAAAACTGGTAGAAATAATCTACATAATTTTACTATAACAGAACCTAGAGAGAAATGGTTACGTAGACGTACAACGATTAAAGTTAGGGTAGGTTGAATCTGTTATTTTTTTTCCATCAGTATTTCTCTGTGTGAACTTTATTGTCAGAACCCATGTTAGTTGGTTCATTCATCCACATTTCCATTACCGTGTGAATGATATAGAATCTTCATTTTTGAAAATGCTATGGACCCATTAGTTTTCATCTGATTTTCATTAAAATTCATTTTAGATTCTTATTTTATCAACCACATTCTAATAATCCACTTTTTTATAAAATCACTCTGTCACAAGCCCCAAAAATTCGGCCCAAGTGTGTCTGAGTTCAAAAGAATCAAAAGATCATAACATTGTAGTGGGCACTCTCTTAAATTGCTGTTAATTGACTAATTCATTTTAGCTGTTGCGTTTGTTAGCTGTTGATGTAGTTATGATTTATTTGTAGAACTTACAACCAAACCACCGAGCTAATGATGTGATAGTATTGGAAGATAAACCACAAGTTTTAACAGCTAGATTTATGTATGGTTCATTAGATATGACTTCTTTATCAGGAGAAAAGGTAACTTATCTTGAGGGGCAGCATTTTGCATTTTCAGTAGTGGATGAGCCGGTGACATGTTACCATTTTTGAAATCTGTTTTGAATTAGATTGATAATATTGAAACTGTTTTTTTTACTCCATCATCATTTTGACTTTATTTGTTCTTGATAAGCTTAATTGAAATATGCTGAATTAGATGAGAAAAAGGGAAACAAATTATGGTCAAATTAGTGTCATGACAAATTATTTCATTTAATATTAGACAGTGTTTTGATTAGATCAATTAGTGCAAAAATAAAATATTACCAATTTTCAATGTTTGAATAGCTCAGCAATCCAGTGACCTTACAATTTTTAAACAAAATTCTTACTTGTTTCCTTGTCATATACATTGGTAGTTCTTGTTAAAAAAACTGAAACCTGCATGTGATACAGATAGATATAGCTGAAATTAGTTTTTATTATTAGTAAATTTGATGTATGTATAAGAATTGATCTCTAATAAATGTTTTAACTACTCTAGGTTGATATACATATAATGATACAGCCAGCTTCTGGTGAATGGATACAGTTAGGTACAGAAATAACAGATAATCATGGTAGATTGATCTATACTATACCAGAAGATAAACGTTTAAACCAGGGAATGTACCCAGTTAAAATAGTAGTCAAGTAAGTTTTTCTCTTGATCCTTAGATTGACAAAAGGCCACCTATAACTTAAAAAAAATTAAATCATGACATTGAAAGATAGGCAGAAAGGTAGAGTTTGCCAAAAATCACTGCATCTGGGATACTTTTTTTTTTTAGATGAAAGTTACATCTCAAATGGTTTGTTCCCTTCTGCCATTTCACAAAGATTCTCTGTGTAACAATGTACAAATTTTCATATTCATTTTCATTAGGCTACTTTATGGACTTCAACACAATTAAATCATTTATTAAAAAATTTATATGCCAATGTTTTATCAAGGATTTATTGTATAACAGGGACAGTTATACTTTCTTTTGTACCATTTTTGTCTGTGGTTTCTTTAAATCCATGCTATCATGTGCACTATTGCAAAAAGTGTTTAAGCCACAATTTTTTTTTATTGAAATACAATATCAAAAGATTTTAAAATAGAATAGGAGCCTGAAAGTAATCCTAAATCTTATTTACAAAGACCTGAATACCTGAATCTCTTATAAGTGACATATTTTAATATTTTTTTTAGAGGTGACCATACATCAGTGGACTTCTTTCTGACAGTTTTACCACCAAAAACAGAAACAGTTGTATTTAGTATTGATGGTGCATTTACAGCTAGTGTTAGTATTATGGGTAAAGATCCTAAAATAAGATCTGGAGCTGTTGATGTTGTCAGGTAAGATAGTCGTAATGTGGTTATTCATTTCATATTATTTATACCTATAGAACAAGTGACTAAAATATACAATTGTGTAGTATGATATATTGAATGTTTTTTTTTAAGGGAGCAGTATTTCCAAACTGTCTTTGCCAATATTTTAGGTTGACCTTAAGTTATGTGATGTCCAAAGGGTGGTCTAGGCCTTCTTAAAAACAACAAGAGCTGAGCAGTGATCGTTGTTAAAATGATAATTAAGTTCAAACATACAAGAGTGACAATAATAATCCCATCTTCACAGTGTCAAGCTATTACGAACTTCATACTTATACCTTGACTGCAACAGCCATTATTTTTGTATCATGGAATGCAGGGCTTTGATTAGATTGGATGCTAGCAAATACAGCAAACCAGAGCCCTAGACATAAATTTTGTAAACTTATTTTGAAGAGACTTTCTGTAGAGAGCTCTGATTGGCTCTATTTGCTAGCATACTATTCAATAAAATGGCTACATTTAGAATCTTCCGTAATTTAAAAAAGGTGCCTCTTGCAGTCAAGGTAATAGCCAAAGTTCATTGTAGCTTGACATTGTGATGATGTAGTAAAAATGTTGATCATTACTTAACTTATAACGCTATATTTTTTGAGTAGATTTTAGGCAACAAAGTATAAGCAAATGAAGTTTATGTTCAACAAACTATTGATTTGAAATAAACTTACAGAAAACAATGTCTGGATGTTATAAGCAAAAATCATAGAATTGTGTTCAATGGGAGAAATTCGCATTCAGACATTCGCACAGCAACATTGCTATTGAATAAAATGTCAAATTCTCACAGATTGAATATAATGTGTCATTTTTTCCAGGCATTGGCAAGAATTAGGATACCTGATATTATATGTTACTGCACGACCTGATATGCAGCATAGGAAAGTGGTTACATGGTTAGCTCAACATAACTTTCCGCATGGCATGGTGGCATTTATGGATGGTATATCTAAAGATCCTTTACGACAAAAACTCAACTATTTAAAGTACTTACAAGCTGAGGTAAAGCAAATTAAAATGATATAATTGGTAGTATATGATGTGGTGGCATAATTGAAGAAAATTCTGAAATCAGTTTAAAATAATGGTTTGATCCTTTAAAAATTTACAAAAAGATTAGATTTTGTATGGAATTAACAGCCCATGTCAGTAAACTGATCTGTCATTCCATCTAAAGCTTCACCTTAAAGGGACTGTAAAGAAGTTATCTTTATCAGGGATACTGACATCAATCAATTCGCCCCATTCTAATTTTCAATCAGATGTCTGTGGTTCCTGCAATTTCACTCAAATTTTACGATAAAGGACGTCATCAAACACTTTGTTTAAGTGGAATTGCAGGAACCACAGACTTCTGATTTAAAATTGGAATGGTAAAAACTGATGCTCTCATTGTTCCCAATACACTTAACAAATTTAGAAAACCTCTTTACAATCCCTTTCAGAACAGGTCACCTTGACATTGATTGGACAAAATGCACTTTTTTCGTCTGAATTAAAAACCGAAAGCTGACTGCAGGATTCAGGACGTATCAGATATTTGTAAACTCAACATAGGTCCAGTTTACCTATGTCAGTTCATTGACATTGTAGTTATGGTTGGTTGGTACATCCACACCTGATATTGGTATTGCACTTACTTTATGACTATTGATATGCAAATTGAGAGTTATAAAAAAGCTATAAAACATATCTTTGAATGCAGGTGTATTTTGTATTATAGGCTAATATAAGTTATAAAGCAGGGTATGGTTCTAATAAAGATATAGGTATATATAAAGAATTAACTCTCTCACCATCTCAGATTTATGTGGTTGGAAAAGCTTCTAAAAAACAACATTCACAAGCTCAGGTTGGTACATGTCAATAATTCATGGCTTTAGTCCACAGTGTGAAAGTCATTACACATTTTTGAATGTTTTGTTTCTAGTTCTTCCTGTGGGCAACTTCACTTGCCATCTATGATCTTACGAAATTACTTTTTTTAAATCATGTTTTGTGGAATTTTAATCCAATAGAATCAAAAAGTGGCATAATTTATTCTAACAAATGTTCTTAGACAATACAAGTCAGTGTTTAACAAGGAATATCCCACAATCCTGCAAATATAGTAAGGAAATTCAATTTGATTGGTTGAATATGAAATGACGCTGAACAGGAGATGCATAACAATTGTGTCAGATCATTGATGGCAAGTAAAGTAACCCACAGAAAAACATGTCAGGGAACGTCCAGATTTACCTTATAATTCAGTTTTAGACTAAAGAGAATCTATTTTCATTAGATGATTTCCTCTTAATAATGTTTGTTTGAATTAATGACTAAATATTGTGAAATCATGTGGCCAATTTTCACAAACATGTCTGATTTAAAAAAAAAACAAAGCAGAATTGTATTTACATTTTGTATTTGTATATTGTAGATACTTAGTAATGGTTATGCTGCTCATCTTTATGATTTAACCTCACCAGGTGGTTCTAGACCAGCCGTAGGCAATGCTCGTATTTTCTTACGTAAAACATGTTTTAGATTACCTAGTCTAGATACTAAACGCTCAGCTAGACGTACAGTTTCAAACACTCAGTCGGGAGGTAGTGACTTTTTACGCCCTCCAGACAGTGGCTCAACTGATAAAGTTAGTACATCATGTGGAGGACGCTCATTAAAAGACAGTTTTGCTGCGGTTAGATTACGTGGAAAATCTCCAGCTGCCAAGTCTTCATCATAGATAGAAATAGGGATCAATTAGCTTGGACACGTGACACAAGTTGGGTGGACAGAAACTGGAAAAATGGCAAATAAGATTGAAATATAGGCTGTGAAGACTTTGTTTGAAGATGTTCAAATGTGATGTTCATGAATATGAAATCATAAAATATGTTTATTACATGTACATGGACTAAGAGGCAACTTTTAGAATGGAGATTTACTCTATGACATTGGGAATGCAGATTCAAAACTACTTAGCTCCTACAAATCAATATCAATTTAGGTTGAATTTATATCAGTTAACCCAGAATTTCCAATTCAGGTTCAAAGTTATTTTGATTAGCTCTCGTTCTCGTTCAAAATATTATATATTAATATTATAAGTTCAAATTGAATTTACATTTAATTATAAATTGAAAACTATATTCATTAGCTCTCAGTATTAATATTAATATTGTTATTAATAATTATATTATAGTAAGGCTAGACCAATTAATTTAATTATCTTAATTAATAAGGACTGACCTGGACTTTCCCACTTTAAAATTCTATTAATTAGCTCCTATAACTAAATTTGAGATAGTTATAAAAATTCTATTAATTAGCTCCTATAACTGCATTTGAAATAGTTATAAAAATTCTATTAATTAGCTCCTATAACTGCATTTGAGATAGTTATAAAAATTCTATTAATTAGCTCCTATAACTAAATTTGAAATAGTTATAAAAATTCTATTAATTAGCTCTATAACTGCATTTGAAATAGTTATAAAAATTCTATTAATTAGCTCCTATAACTAAATTTGAAATAGTTATAAAAGTTCTATTAATTAGCTCTATAACTGCATTTGAAATAGTTATAAAAATTCTATTAATTAGCTCCTATAACTAAATTTGAGATAGTTATAAAAATTCTATTAATTAGCTCCTATAACTGCATTTGAGCTAATTATAAAAATTCTATTAATTAGCTCCTAGAACTGCATTTGAAATAATTATAAAAATTCTATTAATTAGCTCCTATAACTAAATTTGAGATAGTTATAAAAATTATATTAATTAGCTCCTATAACTAAATTTGAGCTAATTATAGAAATTCTATTAATTAGCTCCTATAACTGCATTTGAGATAGTTATAAAAATTCTATTAATTAGCTCCTATAACTAAATTTGAGATAGTTATAAAAATTCTATTAATTAGCTCCTATAATTGCATTTGAGCTAATTATAAAAATTCTATTAATTAGCTCCTAGAACTGCATTTGAAATAGTTATAAAAATTCTATTAATTAGCTCCTATAACTGCATTCGAAATAATTATAAAAATTCTATTAATTAGCTCCTATAACTGCATTTGAAATAATTATAAATATTCTATTAATTAGCTCCTATAACTGCATTATGAAAATTCTATTAATTAGCTCCTAGAACTAAATTTGAAATAATTATAAATATTCTATTAATTAGCTCCTATAACTGCATTTGAAATAAGTATAAATATTCTATTAATTAGCTCCTAGAACTAAATTTGAGATAGTTATAAAATTAGATACCAATGTACAATTGATATTCATATGAATCAGTCAGTATTAGGATTTTATATCGTATAATTATAATTGATAGAGATTTATCAAAGAACCTAGCTTGATACGGATTGAGTATTCAAAACTAAATGGATTGTGATACTCAAAGACCATTTATACCAAAAGGTACCTTATCAAGAAAGTCCCTAAAATGAAAGTAAAGATACCTTTCTTTGTGTAAATTTGTTAATAATTTGCATGTACTGTCCATTTAGTTTTTTAAATATATCTTGTCTGTGCCATTTGGCTTTAAGTTTTTTATGAATTAAAGTTATTGAAGTCTAAATATTTCCATTATTAGCTGATAGAGCTCAATTTCATCTATCCATGTTTCTTTTTAAAATTAAAATCACAACTGTGTTTTTTATAATTCAAGAAAACTTTTAACTGTCATTTTCTGACTGTTATTGACAGATAAAAAATATATAATGTGTCAATAATAGCATTTGGCATTAATTTCCCTTCGTGTTTTCAAGATATTTATCAGAAATTTCATAACACTACTGAACTCTATATATTTAGCATATTTGCACCTAGAGTAAGTAAAGTTATATACTTCTCGAAATAAGTAATATCATAGCTGGATTTGAGCTATCTGTAGCACTTCTATTAGAATCCAGTGCTCGGTTTTGATGAAAGTTGATCTCTATTAGCTGGTAAGGCAAACGTTTTTTGATAGTGCCAACATAAGAAAAAGGTCATTGCCTGTAATCTGTTAAAGAGGGAACCCAATAGTTTATAAGCACCAAATTTGATGGTCTCAGATATTATGGCAAAGATTTGCTTAAATACTTTACTTATTTATTTATTTGTTTATATTATATATTTATTATATTGTTTTATCCAATTGTTGTCTGTTTAAGAAGGATAGATTTTTGAATATTTTTAACCGTTTATCAAATTTGTTATTGCCAAAAACATCATCACAATTTGTGTATGTGTATAACAAACTGTTGTATGTTACCTTTCATTTGATGTTGCACACAATTCAAACTGTAGAATATATGTTGGTTTGAAGATAATATACTTGTGTTCAATAAGGCTTTTTCTTCTTATTTACTGTTTTGAATATAAAACCATGAAGTAGCTGATGGGACAAATTTACTGTCAACAACTTTAAATATTTCCTTTATCATCAAAAGAAGAGTTGAAAAAATGAAGTTAAATTATTTTTAAATTTCAAAACTGAATTTTACATACTGGTACTATAATTCTTCAAAGAAGGATTACCCCTATTATTGATGACATTGTAGAAAAACTAAATGACTACATAGTGTTAGGGAAAACCCATATATTTGTGTTCAATGGGAGAAGTGAAATAATTAAGGGTACTAAAACTTTTTCTTTTGATGAAACATATGTAAAAAATTTTCATTTTACAAATTTTCTATCACACCATAAAAAAAACCTTTGAGTTTGTTGCATCATTAGCATCAAAAAGTCCTATTTGTTAAGTGAGGACAATTTATATGAAATATAACCCCAGAAAGCAATGGCTGTGACATTGTTGATCAGTTTTTTTTTTCAGGCCAGATGATTATGTATTAAAATTATGTTTTGTAAAAGTCCCTGATCATCTGTAGCTGTTTAATTTGCATTTATCAGAAAATATAACATTTTTCTGTAGACTCAAACTGATTAAAATGTAGATCTTGCTGTTTCTTTTTTTAACTTGAAATCATTTCATTTTTTCTTGAAATCATTTCATTTTTTCTTGAAATCATTTCATTTATCCTTGAAATCATTTCATTTTTTCTTGAAATCATTTCATTTTTTCTTGAAATCATTTCATTTTTTCTTGAAATCATTTCTTTATCCTTGATATTATTAATTTTTTTTTTTTAAATCATTTCAAATTTTAATCAATATTGTTTGGTAAACAAACAAAATAATGTTAATGACTGTGGACTGACAATACACCTCAAATATAACTAAAATTATTCCAGAGTACCTCACATATAGGCAAATCTATTTATTGAACAGTGTATTTGACTGGTATATTATTCTAATGGCCTAGACATTTTGGTGCATAACAACAAGTAAAGTCACCCATGGAAAAAATGACAAACAAAATCTAGACCGTAAAGATTGCTGTGAACAGCTGGTTAAAACATCACAATTATGTTATAAATATGCTTCTTAACTGTGATCTGCTGCTTGACTTTATCTTATTGTGAATGAATCATTAATAGTTTTTATTAATATGACACCTATGTGATGCGTATAGTGACACATACAGTGACATCTGACTTGATACATATAATTACATATAGCAACATGTGATGTCATATTTATTGATGCATTATATAATGTTTTTCTATGAAATGTTCTTAGGCATACCTATATTAGTACAATTGTTGTGTTAATTAAAGATTTTTTTAAGGGTTGGGTTCATACGTGTGTAATCTACCAATGATGTAAGATTTCTACCGCTTTGTAGAATACATCCCGTTACCGATGGGATGCCCAATTATACTGATTTTTGGGGGTTTTTTTCTAACCAAATTTTCACGATCGTTTTCAGTGTCCAAATTCTCTATCAACAAAATATCTATCATTACTTGTACCTTGTACCCAATTGATTGTTTTCGCAAAAGGTCACAAAAAGATATTTTGGCTTTTTATGTGTATTAGGGATACCTATAGTTTCCAATCATATCATTCATTTTTCTTCTCAAACATAAATTATATAAAATTATATCACAAATTCCCAAAAAGGGGAAAACAATTAACCAATCATGTTGGACTAAAAATCAGAATGATGTAAACAGATATCATAAGTATCCAGTTCTTAAAAAAAGGGTAACAAAATTACTTAAAAATCTCTTAAAAAAAATCCTCAAATCCCTTGTTTGAAAATACATGTTCATACTATTAAAGGTAAAAATAATGAATATAGGTTATAATTAGAGGTATTTATCAAATTGTTGATACATGTAGATACATGTAAATAATATAACTTTATTGAGTTTATTGTAAGGCATAAGTGTGTTCATCTTCTATTATGTACATTTGTTGCAAAGTGTCATTCACATTGTCATCAATTGAAGGAAAAAATTTACCATAACGAAGTGTTTTCTTATAATATCACATTACAATTCCTAGTTGAGAGAGCTCCCATTACAGTTGTCGATATAGTACTCTTTTAAAAAATGTGAAATTTAGTTTGTCTGCATTGTATTAAAATAAAAGGCTGTTATTACATTACACTGAGAAAATGCTAACTATAACTATGGATGTGTAGATACTTAATATTGGAAAATAATATAAAAAAAATAAATTTGAAAGCAATACAGGTATGTTTCATGTGCTTAAAACCCAAAAATAAAATTTTCTAAATGCATTATTTCTCATTTAAATCATTTTTACCATTATTATTTTGTAATATGGTACTGTCCACACTGCATTGTGTGTTGGATACAAAATCCTCATCAGGATACCTGATGTGGAAATAAAGAGTCACCGAAGCAAAATTATTAGTTGAAGTATAGTTTTGTTATTATCGCAGTTATCAATTTTTCTTTGGTTGGATGACAATATGAATTACTCTATAAAATTAAATAAGATTGCTCAGTGTATATATATATATTTCTTATAGAGTTGTATAATAGAAATATTATTATGTACAGTTAGAATATCATATCAAAAACATTAGATGAATTTAGGTCCAGTTTTCTCTCATATAAACGTTTTTGTTATATAGTATAAGAAACGTTAAAGCAGTATAGACAGTATTTTATGAGTCCAATCTTCACAATGGTCAAGGAATTGCAAATTTATCCTATTTCTTTGACTGCATTAGACACCTTTCTTGTATCATGGAATGCAGCGATGTGGTTAGATTGTTAGCTAGAGATACAGCCAATCATAATGTTGATAAACTGTAAACAAGATGATTTTCTGTTGAGGACTCTGATTGGCTGTGTACTAAAGAAAGGTGACTATTTTAGTCAAGGTATAAGACACTTTTCGTAATAGCTTGACATTGTGAAGATGATGAGTCCCAGATTGTACATTTTTAAGCTTGCACAAATATTTTGTCATGAAAAGCAATAAGTGTATGGCATTTTTTTAAATAGAAACCAAACTAAAAATATTGCAATGGATTTTTACACCCCTTTCCCTTCCTTTTTGTAGTTAACGAATAAAAGTTATTATCATTTCAGTCTGTTTAAGGAATAGTGTATTCTTGTGTATTCTTCCATCATAGATTGAGAGATATTTTCTGTTCAAGGAAGGAATTATTTTGCTTGATCAGAATGTATATGACTTTGCATATAATTAAGTGTTTAAGATATTATTAATTGGTGTACTTTATTGAGATTATAATTTTGATACAGTGCAATAATTATAGTCATAGATTATATAATGGTTGGAAGCATCTTTGTATCTGTTATGTGTAACACTTGACTAGTTCATACATATATTTCAGATGTGTATACAAAAATTGTCATATTAAAATAATTTCATTAGATTTTGATAGTAGAACTTCAAATATTTTAGTTTACAATTCTTGTATTTTATTGGTAAAGATCATCCAGTTCTTAATATTGTATATTTGCAAAAATCTTATAATTATGTTCTGACACCAAGCCACTGATTGGTCAATATTATCACTTCAATGACATCAACCAATTAATATTCTTATGGTCGAGTTCAGATATTTGTGCTATTCCTGGTAAGAATCAAACATAAGCTGTCCACTTTATTAAAATACTAGTAATGAGCACAATATAAGTCTGGTTTTATATAGTTTCAATTACTATTTATTCTACCTCAAAATGGACTGCTTGTGGTTTTTTTTTTAGAATTGCCTGCATGTTCACAAGTATTTTTGCTCTTATGCTCTTAAAGGGATTGTAAAGAGGTTTTCTAAATTTTTTAATTTGTATTGGGAACACTGATATGCTTTATCACATAAGGCCATCCGTGATTAGTGACATCATCAAACACTTAGTTTTAGTGGACTTTGAGGAACCACACTGGTGGAAATCGACGCTATCAATGTCACGGATACACATACAGAATTTGTACCATATTTGTATCCGTCAGATTTTGCAGTTTACTTAAGTGGGGCACTTTTACACCTAAACATTGCTCTTAAAGAGTTTTGAAGTAAAATTCTAGTTGTAATTTTTTAAAGTGTGATTGTCTCTTCAATTAAAATTAAGAATTATGTTATATTCTCATTATTGATGGTTGTATTTATTATTATTATAAAAATACCACTTTGTGTTATATTTTGTAATTGTTGTAGTCTGTGTCTTGTTGAATGAAAAATACCTGTAGATAGATGAAACCAGTAATATTTCAAATTATTATTATTATTATCATTATTATTATTATTGAATAAAACCCTGTCAAGCTGTTAATTTTACACTTCCTTCTCTCTTGTACAATGTTCATCTATCTGAACTCTGTTCGGATCGGCAGCTGCTCAAGATAATGATGGAACTTCTAACTTGGTGACTTACAAGACTAAAATCAACCTCCCAAACTGGCGCAGGTAACTTGTAAAGCATATAATCATACCAAATTGCAAATTAGGACCAAGTTGGCTATGGGTGATGCAGATACTTTATCATTATTTGAGTCGATGAAGAGAGATAGCAATTTTAAGCACGATGGACATTATCTTTTTGAAACAACAATTACTGGTTGAAAGTTTCTTCCATCGTGCTCAACTGATAGCTTCATGTAGTCTTCTGGCTGGCTCCATCTGTATGCTTATTGTCGGAATGTTTTTCTTCAAAGGCTTGTATGTTATTTCAGAACTCCCACTCGATGGAAATTTTCAACTGGACGCTGTGTGTTTGATTTTGAAACCCCAGAAGTATCTTTAAAACTCGCCTGTATAGACGCTCGTACACTTGCTAACGCTTGCACAGGCCCACACCTACGTATCACCAACGTCAGTGTGGTGGTATAAGCCTATGTTATGATTTCCATTTGAATGAGAACAAGGCATATATCCAGCACGTGGCATAGAGCCATGAACAATATCCCTTTAGGGCCCAGACATAAAAATTGTAATAGATTATAATTTAAATTGGGTTACCATCAGATTACCTTTCAGTTCATCATTTCAGCTATATATAGAATCAGATTTATGATTAGAGTTTATTTTGAGATCGATTTCATCTGTTCAGATAGATGCTACTGTGTCATGACCCACTGTCAAAATACAGATTCAGGCCACGATTGTTTGGGTGTCGTTAATCTGTTTCAGACATCAAGATATAATCTTCTTCTGGTATGAATGAGATTTTCAACAACAACATACGCCTACCTTGTATGTTTTTGTTCAACCCTACATCTTTATGAATGTGTAACAAGATAAAGTATAAGTACTATCTTAACTCTTTTACCCTTTTTTCAACCCTATAATATCGCGTTTTTCTTAAACGTAAAAATGTGTAGGGGAAGAAACCCAAAGTCGGATTTCAATTTTTAAAGTGAAGCAGATAGCTGAAATTGAGCTTTAACAGGTCGAAAAGCAATTATATTAGCGACGTTATCTTTAAAAGCGATTGTAATCATGCATATTTGTCAAATGAAATGAATGGCGTTATACGTCATAATATTCTGGATCATGTGGGCTAATGAAGACGGGCACCGCCATGCAGGATGCAATGAGGGAAATTGAGGACAGTGGCATTAGTCTGCTCTTTTTCGATTTCCAACTGTTGAGGGATCTTTTACGTACACGGCCTGTAGAACACGGGCCTTGGTAAATTGTCCCATCCGAACGACTAGACGTTTTTTTTCTTCATGTCAGCCCCTCTTACCTGCATCACTGACAGGGAGAAACCGGGTTGAATATTTCGAAGGTATTATCTCGAATTGAACCCTGGACCTTCAGTTAGAGATTACTCTCCCAGAATACCCGCCTGAGTACATGAATATAATGTGCTAAGGGGTACAAGAACATATGAAATGTTTCCCACGCTTTAAGATCTATTTTGTGACCATCACCTTCTAAACTCTTCTTATTGTCATCTGATATTGACATAAGTTGAACTATATATTATCAGCTTTATTCACCTCTACATGTATACCTGTATTAGTAATAAACTAGACCTTGACATAGATCAACTGACATCGTAAACAACGCGCCATGTTATTATCACATTCTTGACCATTGGTCAAACTGACCAAAAACACGAGTTTTTTTTTTATTTTATTTTTTAAGTGTCATCGTTTTTTGAACTTTTTTTGTTTAGAAAAAAATATTATTTTAGGAAGATTTCCTAAAAGCTTCGTCTAAACCAAATAATTAGCAATGAACGAATATGTCTAATATCGTTGTAAAATAGTTGAATTGCTATGGACAAAGTATTTCTCCTTGTAGTAACCCCTTTTCTTTTTAAAAGAAATGTTTGTTTGATTCGAGATTAATAATTGAGAGGGGACTTGTCATTAAAATTGCATAATCGCACTGAATAGCTACACGGCACCCTGTAAATTTTAACCGTAAAATTTTATTTCAAAATTCATTATAGATAGCTTTTCACATGTGCACAATACTAGCGTGTTTATCTGGCTGAAGTAGTCATAACAATAGCCTCGGACATTGCCTTGACCTGTCCATTCACTAGAGGCCAAATTGATATGAAAGACGCTATTAAAATGCTGTCGACATGTTCGAGATGGCAGTCAAATTTATAAAATGACAATAGCAATAGAGCGATTTGAGATAATTTCAAAGTGGGGTGATTTTTCATTCTTGGCATGCTACATAATTGTTTGTCTTTATACACATGTTGTAGTCTAGCGTCGAATCATTTGGAAATCATCTTTTTTACAATTATTTTGACATCAAATAGCATATTTATTAGTTTGTATGTTCACTTCAAATTTATGTGTAATTTATAGACAATATTTACACAATATTTTATCTGTACACTTCGAAATACGGGCATAAAAATTTTATTAACCGAATTTTCAGAGAAAAAAAATCACTACACATATTAAACATTGTTTATGCTCAAATAAATCAAAATATCAAAAAAAGATATACGGGTTTAGCGCAGATTATATCGAAAATATTATGCTGCATTTCACGTGGTGATGAACACAATACGGGCTATAAAATGATTGGCCAGATAAAGGCATGTATAAAAGTTAAGGACATTACTGGCCCACATTCATTGGTCATCGCTTTATTAATATAACAATAATTATTGTGATCTCTTTTGTTAGCGTTAGAAAATAGCGTTAGAATTTTTGAATTTAGATTTAGATTCAGGACCATTATAAGAGTCAAAACACGATGTGTATTTAGTGAAGTGATTTAAGTATTATATTATATTGGAATAAAAGTCAATCAAAGGGATAAAACTTCATCTGATGTCAAACTAACGATGCCAAACAAACGAGTAGCGATAGTTGGTGGGGGTTGTAGTGGTTTGACTGCCACAAAGTCATGTATTGAAGGAGGATTAGAACCAATTTGTTTTGAAAGAGAGTCTGATATCGGTGGATTGTGGAACTACTCGGATGAACCTGTCCATGGGAAAGGAAGTATATATAAGAATCTGGTGATCAACACCAGTAAAGAAATGATGGCATTCAGTGACTTTCCTACACCTGAAGAATTTCCGCCTTTTATGCCACATTCAGACGTCTTGAAGTATTTCAAATTATATGCCAGCCATTTTGAATTATTACGTCACATCAAGTTCCAGACGTCAGTGTTGTTTATAGAACAGAGCTCGGATTATGAAGAAACTGGAAGATGGTTGGTGAGGTATCAGACACAAGATGACGAACCTCAAGAAGAGGTTTTCGATGCTGTCATGATCTGTTCTGGTCATCATACGGTTCCACATCAACCTCACTTTCATGGATTAGAGAAATTTCAAGGTGCAGCGATACATTCACATGCATATCGCGAGGCCAGCAAATTTAAAGGACAACGTGTCGTAGTTGTAGGTAAGTGCCTCTTTTGATAATACCTACGCTTGCTGGTGTCAAAGATCTAATAGGGAGTTAAGCAGGTTGGACGGAAGATAGAGTCTAGTCTTCCGAAGGAGACAATGAAACATTCAGTTTCATTTTTCTTTGGGCTGATCGCTTGTCAGTTGAAATAGAAAAAATAGTAGGGTCCTAGGCCTACTGCTTCCCTGGTAAAATTCTTAGGGCCGTATGCAGCGCTCGTACCGTGACTAAAGTTGAACTTTGGCTAATGTCGAACTTTACAAAGTTAGGATAAAGGTTTTCATTTTCTACATTTGATAGTCAAATTTAAGCACGACTTTCGTAAAGATCGACCGGTGCATACCTTAAGTTCGACCTAAGTCTAACTTTAGTCAAAGTGTAGGTAAGAAACAACAGAACGATAGCCTACCTGTTTTGTGGATGTTGTTACACCCGGAAAAGTTTTCCATGCCATCCTCTGATAGCACGAGTTTAATGCAAAGTCTAATGTAGTTTTTGGTAGATTTTGCTGGTGCCCGTGGTGGGCTTTCTCTGAGGTCTTTGAAGCAAATCTATTGAACATCCCTGTCAGATCCTAACATGGCCATCCTAAAAATGATGCATACGGAAATGCTACGAGATTAGTAAAACCATTTAGAATTCCAATGATCCAAGGGTGGAATTGATTGTGGACTTTTAATTCCTGGACATTCCTCTTGTTGTATTTCTATCAATTATGATTTCTAATTTTATCCGAATTCCTAATACCTATTATATTGCCAATTATATATGGTTTAACACAAAAATGAATTATTTATATAATTATATAAATGGATTATATAGGGTAAACGGACCATAAGGATTGTTTGTTTGGGTTTTATAACCTGAAGGAGGTCAAGACAATTTGACATCAATTTCATCGTTTAACATTAAAACTTAATCTTTCCGTCGAAGGGTATTCGAATATCGCCTACATATTTTGAGTTAGCAATTATCACATGAAATGAATACAATTAAAGGGGTAGTTGATTTTAGTCTTCTATTTACAAATAGTCTTCAGAAGTACTATAAATGTACAAAAAAATAATCGCATAATTCCTTTTAAAATACTTCAAACTAGGAATTTAATTCACTATTTATTTATATCTTTTCTATAAATCACAGAGAATCTTAAATTGACGAGTCGTCATTTTAACATTCAATCGTAGATAATTCTGGACACACATGGATTTGAAGGTCAAATTTCGACGGTGAGCTTTGAATACTATTACTGATTGGCTCAGTTGAAAAATCCCCGCCTCTGAGACTGAAGTATGTTTCTTAAGAGAAAAAAATAGCGCAACTGTCCCTTTAATTAAAAATTCCAACTTGATAATAATTCCTGATTTTAGATTAAGTTTCCCTCTTTCAATGACGTATGTCGGAGAAGTTGACGGGGTAAAAACGTCTACAGTGATTCCATGCTTATCTTCATTTTCGGAATGTCACTTGTTTTTGGATGGGCCATTATAAAATGAATTGAATCAAATTCAAGTATCAAAAGATACTGACAGTATGCAGGTTACAGGTGTTCACACCATTTTTTTTTTATCAAATTACAGGAATTGGAAATTCTGCTGTTGATATTGCAGTTGATATTTCAAAAGTAACAGAACAGGTAAGGTCCTCAGACCAATTGCCAATGATCAATCTTCAGCTCTATAAAGGATCAATATTGTGTCACTTTAAAGACATACAAGGAATATTATCTGCATAGTCTTCGTGAATTTAAAGGTTTGCATTTGAAATAGTTGTATAATAGCTATTATTGATAAAAACATAAAAATCAAACATTAAAACGTAATAATCATTTTGCAGAGGCTGTCCCGTACTTGGTATCTTTGTTTGCTTATTTTTCAGGTATTCACAAGTACCAGGCGAGGTGCCTGGGTGATTGGTAGAACTGGCTTTTGGGGTTTACCAGCTGATTTATTAGCGAATAACAGATTCCTCTTCTCCTTACCACGAGGTCTATTAGGCTGGGTCGTAGAGAAACAGGCTAATCTCAGAATAGATCATCAACGTTATGGACTTAAACCTAAACATGGGTAGGCTTTAATTGTGCATTTTGTAGTGTGGAGGAACACGAGTTATGAATAACTAGAACCTAACGTTTTAGCTTGCTCATAACGCCTTTAAACACATAGACACCACCAACTCGGGTCGATAGAATAACCAAAATCTAAGGCTACATAATGTCAAAGGGGCTTCTTAGGAACCCAAGAAAAAGGCATACCCAATCATACAATAGCAGTAACAAGACTTAGTTGAATACATAGCTTCTTCCAATAACTTTTGTACATATAACGCAGCAAATTCAATGAAAGACTGCAATATTCTTGTAATTTAAGTCAATATTTAACTATGGATATCCAAGAATTACTTACATATACAGGAGCATTGAGCAAAACATTAGATATGATATTACCACAGATGGATAAAGGATCCAAACGTAAACGATCATCTTTATCATCACTTTTAACATCGTCAAATTATATTTATAATCTTCGCCAATAGTAATCTCGTTTGATGATGAATAAGTGAGATCCTTTGGTGTCCAAGAATTGAAAGAATGTCTTCATTAAATTTCAGGGCGTTGGCAGCACATCCAACCATCAACGATGAAATCCCATATCACATGATGACTGGGAAAATCCGTGTCAAGCAAAATATCAACGAGTTTACAGAGAATGGTGCTTATTTTACTGACGGTTCTTATGAACGAATCGATTCAGTCATATTTGCTACAGGGTACGACTACCAATTGAAGTTTATAGACCATAAAGTGCTAACCATTGACGAAAATCAAGTGAATCTTTATAAATACGTTTTCCCCCCAAAACTGAAACATTCAACTCTTGGTGTGATTGGTTTAATACAAGCTGTTGGAGCAGTAATGCCCATTTCAGAAATACAAAGTCGATGGTTTGTGCAGTTACTAAAAGGTTTGTACTTTCTTCGTGACCGACTTATGCATAAGCATTAGCAACATTTTATATGATAACGTATTCAATTGTCTTGAGAGATAATGTGTATCGAGTAATATCATTTTCTATTAATAATATAAGAAGAGAAAAATTTATGAGCAAAAACAGGAATTGCTACGCTTGACAGCAGAACTGTTCGTCGGATTTTCATTTTGAAAAGTGTTACAGATAGCAGACATTGAAACCTATCAACTGGTAAAGCAAAATATTTCTTGGTATTTGTAAGTTAACTCATTTATACTTAGTTATATTTCCTATTGTTAATTACCAAGTTATTTTTCTAGGTAATTGTAAGTTACCAAGTAAAGTTATATTTTCTATTTATAGGTAATTGTAAGTTGCAAAGTAAAGTTATATTTTCTATTTCTGGGTAATTGTAAGTTCCAAGCTATTTTTTTTTTATTTTTTGGTAGGTCTAATTGTAAGTTACAAAGTAAAGTTATATTTTCTATTTATAGGTAATTGCAAGTTACCAAGTAAAGTTATATTTTCTATTTATAGGTAATTGCAAGTTACCAAGTAAAGTTATATTTTCTGTTTATGTGTGATTGTTAGTTACCAAGTAAAGTTATATTTTCTATTTATAGGTAATTGCAAGTTACCAAGTAAAGCTATATTTTCTGTTTATGTGTGATTGTTAGTTACCAAGTAAAGTTATATTTTCTGTTAATGTGTGATTGTAAGTTAACAAGTAAAGTTATATTTTCTATTTATAGGTAATTGTAAGTTGCAAAGTAAAGTTATATTTTCTATTTACAGGTAATTGTAAGTTCCAAGCTATTTTTTTTTATTTTTTGGTAGGTCTAATTGTAAGTTACAAAGTAAAGTTATATTTTCTATTTATAGGTATTTGCAAGTTACCAAGTAAAGTTATATTTTCTATTTATAGGTAATTGCAAGTTACCAAGTAAAGTTATATTTTTTATTTATGTGTGATTGTAAGTTAACAAGTAAAGGTATATTTTCTATTTATAGGTAATTGTATGTTACCAAATAAAGTGATATTTCTATTTATAGGTAATTGCAAGTTACCAAGTAAAGTTATATTTTCTATTTATAGGTAATTGCAAGTTACCAAGTAAAGTTATATTTTTTATTTATGTGTGATTGTAAGTTAACAAGTAAAGTTATATTTTTTATTTATGTGTGATTGTAAGTTAACAAGTAAAGGTATATTTTCTATTTATATGTAATTGTATGTTACCAAGTAAAGTGATATTTCTATTTATAGGTAATTGTAAGATACCAAGTAAGGTTTTTTTTTTCTATTTACAGGTAATTGTAAATTACCTACTAAAGTTACAATTTATATTTATACGTGATTGTAAGTTACCAAGTAAAGTTATTTCTCTATTTCTATATGATTGTAAGTTACCAAGTTAATTTATATTATTCTATTTATAGGTAATTGTAAGATATCAAGTAACAGTTTTTTTCTATTTATAGGTAATTGTATGTTACCACGTTAAGTTATATTTCTATTTCTAGGTTATTTTAAGTTATCAAGTTAAGTTATATTTCTATTCTAGGTTATTTTAAGTTATCAAGTTAAGTTATATTTCTATTCTAGGTTATTTTAAGTTATCAAGTTAAGTTATATTTCTATTTCTAGGTTATTTTAAGTTATCAAGTTAAGTTATATTTCTATTCTAGGTAATTGTAAGTTACCAAGTAATAAAGTTATGTTGAATGATATTAAAAGGAATACAGTAGAGATGAATGAAGGATATGTTAGCACAAGACGTCATACTATTCAGGTATGATTAAAGTATAGCCCTATGTGAAAAGCTGACTAGTAGACCTCGAGAAACGTGTACTTTTTGTTGTGGTCTCCGAGGAGTCCGAAGTAGGCGTTGTACAACTCTTCGTATACAGTTTAAAATGGAAAACGAAAACCAATACAATTTTTGTCAAAGTTTCACTCTGTGGAGCTACCTGTCTCTACAAGTTCTATCTGGAGAAGAAAGGTAGAGCGTTAAACCATTCCACGTGTACTTTGTTACTGTGTCTTCTGTTGTTATATTGCAGGCATTTTGGGTAGATTACATGGATGAAATAGCATCATTTATTGGATGTAAACCAAACTTTTGGAAATTAGCAGTGAGGGATCCTGAATTAGCGCTCCGTTGCCATTTTGGTCCATGCGTCCCAGCACAATACCGTTTACAAGGTCCTAACAAATGGTCTGGCGCCAGAGAAATCATCCGAAACGCTTTATCTCGAGCAACCAACTGTTCAACAATAACCAAGCAACCAGCAGAGTCGAGGAATGAGAAATATTTCAAGGCGGAACATTCTAAATTAATGACACTTTCTATTGTCATGTTCGTTTTTCTGGCGTGGTTGACGAAAGTCCTTGTAACAGTTTTGTAAAATCAAAATTTTAAATCTGAACATTTCATAAGGTTCAACCACGCCTGCCGATTTGATTATGTAAATACCTCTCTTTGATGAAAGTCATACCCACCCTTCCCAAAATCTATTTCAACCCACAAATCTGAACATTTCGTTCAACTACGCCTGTACATTTTGGTGTTGTAAATATCTCACATTGTTGAAATTCACGACCACAATTCCCCGAAATATATTCAAGCCGATACCAGGTCACACATGCCAGCTTTCCAAATGTACCAAAAGCACTCTACACTTGATCAAGATTTTTGGAGGCAGAATTTTACTTCCAAGCGTGACTTAATACGCAAATATCCCAAGAGACCAAACGGTGTTATGACGTATACATCTTATGTTGAGAGAATTTAAGACGATACATCAATTGCCAATGAATGGAGATTATTGAAATGATTTAATTCAAAGTTCACAATTTGGTTTCTAATTGGTTCCTCTGAATTTAACTGAAAGACTACAGGATGATGATATTAAATGTCTGTACTCCAGCTCTTTCAGTAAATATTCATAAATAGTTTCATAAACTCTGTAATTGAAAAAACAACTGACAGGTTCATTTGATTGTATTTTGTTTAGTGTACAATTAATGTTATATATTAGAGTAAATAGTTTATTACCGTATCAAATGATTAACTGAAATCTCCTATCAAGCCAATCAACAAAGGACATTATAGTGTTTGCAAGGATCACAAACACAAGGTAATATTATGAAATAAGCACAATTTTGTAATGATATAATTAAACACATAACGTTTCAACACAATTTAAATGTCATCTGATGACGACACTCTTGAATATTGTGTTGAAACGTAATGTGTTTAATTATTTCAATAAAATAGTGTGCTTATTCCATAATAATGCTTTATGTTTGTGATTTATATTCCTAAATTTGCAAGGATCAATTTCGATAACCTTAGACAATCATCATCGAAATTTATCGATGCATTATTATTTATGCAGAGAAATGGTATACAATATAAAGACGGCTCTGTTTACTATGGGAGCATGGTCCAAATTGTTAACAAACATAAAGCATGGCACCGTCACACTTAATCTGACGTTTCGTAGCCTAGCACAGACGAACGAAAGTCCCACCGATCTTTAGTTTACGATTGGCGAAAACCTTCCCTCGCAGGTAACATAAAGCTGTATAGTTTCAACAGGGTAATGGGTCTGCAGCAGAACAATTTGGACAAGATTTTCACTGAATACAATATCTTAAAAGTCGGGTATTTCGAGGTTTGACATACACCATGGCGTTGATACAGTCCCTCGCCTTGATGACTAAGTACATATATTTACTTTTAAGGTCATGAAATGACACTGGTTGACTAAAATATAGGTTTGAGTGATCAATATCCGATTGTTTCCGTTTTACCTCGTTCAGACATCGGTTGATACAAAATGACATACAACTGATCAACCATCAACCATGAGACAATCATGGGTTGTCCCCCCTGTAAGGTGGGTGTGAAATGGATCAGACATTGAAAGCATACTACCTATTAGAATCAACAGAGATCTTAAATTTCACTCGTACTTGGCCAATAAAAGTATAGATACATCAGTTGACTTTACCTGGTGTCATAACTATACGACAGAATCTCTGTATAATTCGATAAATCCATAAGGTTATTATTATTGAGTCTGCTAAGCATGTTTCAAATCGTCGGTTGACTTGAGTTATTTTATATATAAGCTGTTAAATCTGATTTAAATCGCCGTAATCAATATGACGTCACAAAGGAAAACAGATTTTGTCTGCAGGATAAATAAAACTATTTTTCACGATGGTGACTAACCAACCATTGCCCGATGGCCCTTCCTCCTAAATACGTCACTGTCTATGATTAACCCAAACGCAAAGTAGCATCAGTTGTTCCAGTAGAGTTGACATGCTCTGCATCGCTAGCGACACCCACTACAATTATTATAATAGAGCTCAAATTCCACATAGATCTTGGACTCAAGAGACAATGTATTAAAAGAGACATACTATTGATTAATAGATATATATAAACTGAACGAATGGAAAAACAGGAACATGTCTTAGGGTTCTAAAAGAGTAGACTCGATACATGCATCAACCTTTTAAATTCTCCCAGGTTTCAACACACAAACTTAACTTACACATGACTTTATGATAAAAAAAATTGCCTTATCTGGTGGATAATATAATTTATCATGCATTGAGATTTATTGTAAGAATTTTTCTTTCAATGAAAAATCGAATATTAATATTAGTCGATGATATGAACAACCAGAATCAACCAATCTGGACATAGCTCTGGCAAATAATGGCTACCATTCATTACCGTAATAAATGTTGCAGATCGTTGTTCTGACTATTTAAATTGAATAAAATTAATTCAACTCACATATTAACATATTAATTGTATGAAAAATCTTGCATTTCTATAATCTAATTTTATTGAAAAATCTATCATTTCGACAAATTAATTTTATTCAAAAATCTTGCATTTCAACACCTTAATTTTATTCAAAAATCTTGCATTTCAACAACTTAATTTTATTCAAAAATCTTGCATTTCAACAACTTAATTTTTATTCAAAAATCTTGCATTTCAACACCTTAATTTTATTCAAAAATCTTGCATTTCAACAACTTAATTTTATTCAAAAATCTTGCATTTCAACAACTTAATTTTATTCAAAAATCTTGCATTTTAATATTTAATTTCATTCAAAATCTTGCAAATAATAAATCAATTGGATTCAATGTAAAAATGCAGAACAATGTAAGGCGATATCATTATACGAAACAATGTGCTTGCCGTAAGATTTGAACGACATTTAGAAGTGGAGAGTAGATATAACAAAAAAACGCAAGGGGTATATTTTGGTATAACTCAGCACATAACGTCTCACCACACTTTTCACGTGTCGTCGTCAGATGAAATGAAGTAGTGGGGATATATAACAAGTAGGAAGCCATGTACAGAAGAAAAACGGTAATGAAGACAAATGTGTTGAAACGTTATGTGCTTTGTTATTAAAGAAGTGACTTATACCACAATATACCCATTGTGTTTTTTGTTATGAATGTGCTTACCATAGTTAGCAGAATAAATGAAAAGTAGTTTTGTGAAATCTATGATGAAATCACGCCATGCATGCAAAACAATAATATTCTAATTAGTGGACTCATGTTTCCGGAAGAGTTACTCTAGACTTACAGATATGTTACAGAAGTAGAACTGCAATATTGTTGCAATTAAACAAAATATTCCAAAAAGTGAACGGCCTCTGTATTGCATCTTTGTTGTGAAAAAGACGCTAGTTTGGACATTTCAGTATAAAATGGAATTTTACGCCCAACTTCTCTGAGCGTAATTGAGTTCGGCGCATTCATTCAGATTTTCTTTTGTCCTGATATACCACATCATATTAGTTAGCTCAATCGGCTGCATTTTTGAGAAAAAGTAGAGAACCTGTGAGCACTATCGAGCACCATCTTATTCCTCCAGGGCAAGATCTGGTGCTATCGCTTCAATCCTACGAGAGGTCTGTGAAATTTTCGAGCGATCGACACGATTCCGAGACCGGTACCCGAGGCCGATGTTTGCCGTTGGTCACACGAGAGTGGCCGAAAGTAGACGTATGTTGACGGAGGCAACCTCAGGCATCCGAAAGTTAACCGACTTCGGAAGATTTTATCGAAGGTTTCATATTAAGGACGAGACAAGGACAACCAAATAATACTAGCTGACGGTTTTGATCGGCAACTGCTTTTCAATCAAAGGGAATAATCGCAAATCAGACGTTATGACATGAGGTGACGTCCTCAAACTCTTATTTTTATTGGAATTGCAGGAACCACAGACGTCTGATTGAAAATTGGGTTGGCGCAAATTGATGCTATCAGTGTCCTCTATACACATAAACAGATTTAGAAAATTTCTTTACAATCCCCTCAACTCTATCATATTCTAGTTCAATGACAATACCTTTTTTCCAAAATGTTAAAACAAATCGCGTTAGCATTGAAATAAACAAGAATATTTTCATGAAAGATAGCCATCTAAAAAAATGCATTGTATGGGTGTACAATGAAGTGTAGTAACTTGCAAATAAAACAAATGGCATAATGTCAATTCTTCGTGGTTTTGTCTTTTACTGACTAAATATACAAAATAAAGTTTAAATAATAGTTCATTCGGGATTTTACATGTAACAATATGTCCAAGAACTTTTAAACGTAACAAATATACCAATTTAACATGTAAAAACTTCTAAGGCGAATCCGCGTTTAGAATCCAAAAAGCACAGCGGCATCATGTGTTTCGATGAGGCATAATTAATATACCAAAATATATAGGATCTTTCAACATTATTTGCCAGAACAAAGAAACAATGTCTTGTCTCACGCATTCATTTGACATGGACAGCTCTAGCAAACTAAGTGGAAAACGAGCTGAAAATAAATCAATCTTTAAAGATATGTCATAGGTCATAACTTCCCTTTGGAATTTTGGTAACGGCCTGGATGTTTGAATTATAAAAAATCCGAATGTTGGATTTTAAATCTGAAAAGCAATACGGAAAGCTGGCCTTGAGAATATATAAACCCACCACATTAGCGACGAAACTTAATATAATGACATCTTTTAAAAGTATTGCATTATCATTAACTTTCATTTTGATAATCTTATTCCATATAATGTTATAAACGTATTATGATACCGATAAAATAATGTAACCAATCAAATTATCATTACTTGGTAATAGCCACATGTAGGTTAGATTCTTCATATTACTGTTTATAGTATTAGAAATTATATATCAAGTAGAATGATTAAAATAAAGCATCATTACTTACGTGTAACAAAATTCCAACTTCTCTTTCCTCCGAAGATGTTTGATTTACAGTCTTGGTATATTCTACTAGTTTACATGAGGTTTTTTTTTAGTTTCGTTGTCATGATACGAACGATGTCCACTACCGAAACTTAGCAAGATCAAAGCCAAAATATCGACGTTCCACCAATGCAACCATATATTGATATTTGCGTGCGTCCTTCTGAGAGAATGAAATTCAAGTCACTAAAATCAACTGCCAAGCTGTCGAAATGTTAAAAAAAGATATATAATGATGCCACGTGTCGTATGCCTAGCGATCTAACATCGCCATATTGGTTTTAAAAGGTATGTTTTGCACGTGGGCTTCAATCAATATATTCATTGATTTATTAATAGTTATACTATACAATGTTAAAAGAATAGAGTTCAATAGAAGCTATATTTACATCGCAATTGATGTAATTGCCATAATTTTATGCGTCGCAGAACAAGACAATGATTCCCATTATGTGCTATCGGCAGGGGTTTAGCTATTGGCAGTAAATTAAGCATGGTTACTCGTGAAATTTTCACACCTTCTAAAGAATACAACAGAGATATAAATTATTTCCATATCGATCAGAGCAGTTCAGAAACATATTGATCTGCAGTTCATACAATACTGAAAGTTAGATAAAATAGAATGTGTTTATTATAATGTTAATAATTCATATAATATATTACTGTGATCAAATAAACTTCATATATTACTGTAGCTATAACAAAAAAATTCTCACTGTTAAAATAGTGCTCAACACATCAATTGTTGAGCGATATAGAAATATGGAAATTTTCATTGTATTTACCTATTACTGTGACCAAATAATTTGTTACCAAATAACTGTGACCGAATAAACTTCTTATAGAATTACTGTCCCTAACATAAACTTGTTACCAAATAAACTTATTACCAAATAACTGTGACCAAATAAACTTGTTACCAAATAACTGTGACCGAATAAACTTCTTATAAAATTACTGTGACTACATAAACTTGTTACCAAATAAACTTGTTACCAGATAACTGTGACCAAATAAACTTCTTATAAAATTACTGTGACAAAATAAACTTGTTACCAAATAAACTTGTTACCAAATAACTGTGACCAAATAAACTTCTTATAAAATTACTGTCCCTACATAAACTTGTTACCAAATAAACTTGTTACCAAATAACTGTGACCAAATAAACTTGTTACCAAATAACTGTGACCGAATAAACTTCTTATAAAATTACTGTGACTACATAAACTTGTTACCAAATAAACTTGTTACCAAATAACTGTGACCAAATAAACTTCTTATAAAATTACTGTGACAAAATAAACTTGTTACCAAATAAACTTGTTACCAAATAACTGTGACCAAATAAACTTCTTACCAAATAACTGTGACCAAATAAACTTCTTACCAAATAACTGTGACCAAATAAACTTGTTATAAAATTTCTGTGACTACATAAACTTCTTATAAAATTACCGTGACTACATAAACTTGATACCAAATTACTGTGACCAAATAAACTTGTTATAAAATTTCTGTGACTACATAAACTTCTTATAAAATTACCGTGACTACATAAACTTGATACCAAATTACTGTGACCAAATAAACTTGTTATAACATTTCTGTGACCATACATAAACCTCTTATAAAATCACTGTGACCAAATAAACTTGTTATAAAATTACTGTGACTACATAAACTTATTACCAGTGACCAAATAGACTTGATATAAAATTAATATGAACTTGTTACCAAATTATTGTGACCAATATAACTTATAACCAAAAAAAACTTATTACCATATTACTGTGGCAAAAATAACCTGTAACCAAATGATCTTATACAAATATTACTGTGACCAAATAAACTTACGACCATATTACTGTGCCTTATTTTATAATATTTACCTTATGTCCATTTCATCGCAACCAACGTTCAGATTATAAAATTTCCGAATTTGGACCCTGATGCAAAGAAAAGCGTTTGAACGATTTGATCATTGCTAATTTTGAGTTCACAGACCAGATGTCGACAATGATACAACAAGCCAGTGTTTCCAGTAATATAACAACTGGTTCCAAATAAATAAGAGACCATTTAAAATCATCTTATATTCCAGCAAAAAGTATATGCTATGTGTGCAAGCGTCTTGCATAGTGTATGAGATACATCGGATTATTTGAATAATGTATAAACAATCGCTAACTAAATATATTATGTATGAATTGAAACCTTATTTTCCATTTGAACCACATACTATACTATGCTCTGTCATTAAGACATATTTTTGTTGTCTGTTGTGTGGATATGTTCTAGTCCGAAACCTCTACCTGGCTATTACTACAGGTATTAGTACGAGTAAGATATAAAATACATCTTTCTCCAGCAACGCAACAAATGAATTTCAGAATGAATTTAAATGAAATCCATTTCAATTCAAGATTCCAGTTTTTTGGGAAAATTATTCAATTCAATCTAAACGCTTTCCTCCTACACCGTTTAAAGGTGTCTAGACGATCTATGAAATCTTTAAAATCGTCCATTTTGAAACAGAACTTTTTACTGATTTGCGAAAAGAATTTAAAGTTAATTAATTATTTAAGATAATATGATGAATATAAATTGAAAATTTAATTAAAAGTAAGTATTATTCGGGCTGAACGTCATAAGTTAATGTTAACTTTCATAGTTTCAGTGTTTGTTGCGAACTGTAAGTCGGATTTAAGAATAAGAGTGATACTTACAATTGAAACTGGGTCCTATCAGTCGAAGTAAATATTTTAACGACTGTATTCCACGAAAAATTAAGCTTTTCCACTAACAGGTTCCATTTGCAACTGTCCACAAGACAAAGTGTACCGTGGTAGCCTTTTCGATAATTTTGAACAAGCAGTATCATACTAGTGTAATGATACCCAATAGTTGATTCAGACAAAATTAATCTCTATCGTCTTCACGTAGGACGTAAAACTCCATTATAATTCATTATCTATGTCGCCGTAATATTAGTCATAACATTCATTTATTGATCCATTATTTTTCTTTATGGAATTTGCCTAGACAGGTTTCAATTTAAATTGATAAATTTGATTACCAATTTATCACACAAAATTTTAGATTTGGCTAATCAAGTAAAATTTTGATTTGACTAATCAAGTTAAATTTTTATTTGGCTAATCAAGTTAAATTTTGATTTGCATGTCCTCATAATTCGGTAGGAATTCAAATATTCCAGTAGTGAACCTTCACATATATCATTTGATTTAATTCGCAGATTGTCGTGATAAAATTTAATTTTGGTTAATCATAGGAAATATTAGATTACAAAAAGGTTTATTTTGGCTCGCAAATGCTCGGCTTTGACTCTTGATGCATTTTGAGGCCATAAGGATAGTAAAAGACTTGAACAACGAAAGATTAGTAGCCAGATATCAGTGCTTTCTTATTAAAGAAGTGAGTTATACCCTAATATACCCCTTGTTTTTTTTTATATAGATATCTACATGTATTATGTTTTGATTTCAGATACAAAATATTGATATAAAACCTATCTTTCGCTCTACATTTTAACATCAAATAATTTTACACTTATATTGTCTTTACTTTAGGTTTCTTTTTTTTCAAGGAACAGATGCGCCATTTTTGGACCAATCGTACCTAAGTCTCAGAGACGGGGATTTTTTTAGTTCAGCAAATCAGTAATATTGTTCACAGCTATATACCTTCGAAATTTAAGCCTTCAAATCTATATTGTGTCTTCAGAATTATCCGCGTTTGAATGTTAAAATGACTCGCAATTTATAAGATACTCTTTGATATAAAGGACATAATAGAACTAGTGAGTAAAGTATTTCTAAAGGAATTTTGAGATTTTCTTAAATTTCTAGTACTTCTGAAGACTATTTAACACATATTCAACACTCATATCAGCCCACCCCCCCAAATTGGCCCATCTGCCCCTTTAAAGGCTGGAATTTCTAGCATATCGTTCTAGACGTAAAATTCTTTATGTTGTGAGTAACTCCCTTCAGTAGAGGTTCTACTTGCGAAGGTGGGATGGCCCTTTTGAAAATGAGAATGGTCCATCCTCCTCATATTTCAATTTTTTAACAGCTTAAAATTGAGTTGATGCCCGTGTTTATGTTCTGTGGCCATTGAAAAATATAGATATCATACTGGCTTTAACTGTGAACCATGAACCTTGTTATAATTTAATTAAATAGAAGAATTGTCAATTACCAATTATGAAATGGGTTGTATATATTATTTTATTAGTTAATTTTACGACATCTTATATCCCGTATGAATAATATTGAATGAAAAGGTAAACTATGTAGTATTGAGCTATTAATACTGTTATTCGACCAGATGTCGCTTTTATATCACATATTTCATTGATTTGTCATTTTATTTACAGTCTGTGACGCATGTCAGGTGCTCTTTCTTCATGTTAACAACTAAGCATGTCAATGGGAGGAACCAACCATTTCATACGCCGCAATAGGGGACATGGAGTCGCGGTGTTTCCACAAGTTACATACTTGCTCTTTAAACTGCATGTCGAAACCGGCTCAGTGAGATAGACAAATGCTAAACAGCTAAGTTTGGTTTTAGATCGTGGCAAAGATCGAAATGATACTAATTTCTGCCCGTCATTAATGCAGGTCGGGGCAGGGGGCTAGTATGGAAAAGGCGTCTAGTCGTTTGGATTGGAAAATAAACTGTGGCCTCATATGGTACAAGCCATACACGTTATAAACACTTGGCTTTTGTCGCTATCCTCACTACACTCTGCAGGCTGTTGCCCATCTTCGGTAGTCCAAATTTAGTGAAATAATATTTCAATTTGAAATTACAGTTTTGAGAATTCCCTGACCGCTTGCTTACAGGGCTCTATTTAGGCTTTAGAAGTTTGATTAGTCACATCAGTCATTCAAATGGTTTCAGTCTAAATAGAGTTATAAAAGTGACAGATAAGATACAATAGATCTAGTTTGCGATATCAGCATCCGCTGGAAGCGAACGTTAACTAGAATATACAGTAACAGTTCTTTTAAAGAGATTGTAGAGAGTTTTTCTAAAAATAATTATGTTTATCAGGGACACTGATAGCATCAATTTGCACCATTCCATTTAGTCGTCTGTTGTTTCTGCAATTCGACTAAAACTAAGTGTTTGGTGACGTCACTAATCGCGAAGAGACTTATCTGATGTATTTGTGATTTGTGACGTCACCAGTTTTAGTGCAGAAACCAATGGTTGAAAATTGGAATTGTGCAAATGATGCTATTTGTGTCTCCGATACACCTAAAAATTAAGAAAAACCTCTTTAAAATCCATTTAATGTTTATAGACGTGTCAAAAATTTAATGAAATATATACAATTTAATTTGCAGATTGTCGTGATATATTTTAATTATGTCTATATATGGAAATATCGGAAACAGTTATGACATATACATTGAAATCCGGAAACAAGAAACATGACGTATAAGTAGGTGAGAAGAGACATGGGTTCTATAGAGAAAACAGGGTTGACAGAGAAGGAGTGAAACTAAGAGGAAAGGGAATCTTGATAGGGTGGAAGAAGAGAAAACGTGGAAAAGATGAGAAACTACAGTGATCAACAAGAGGGTAAAGTTACAAGAAGGAAGTAGTTAAGGTAAACTAGAAAGAAAAGGGGATAGGTAATAGAAGTGGTAGAAAGGATTTTGACCGAAGGAACTGTCAGAAGGGTAGATTTAGGCAGTATAAAGACAAAAACTAGTTTAAGAAATTTCATAATTAGCCTCAGTGGTCATATGAAATTGCACAGAATTCCCTCCCTTGAAGTAAAACGTATATAAGACGTAACTATTTATATTAAAAATTTTGATTTTCAAAAAAGGTTGATAGTGATCCAAAATCTTTCGGTCGTAGACCAAAGACCCCAGACCAATCTCACAAATATTACGTATAAAATTATATAATATCAATAATGAAATAATCATATTGAAACTCAATACTAGGTGTATAGAGGTCATCGAGAGAAATTCTCAAGGAGATAAACAATTGGATTTGATTCGCAGATTGTCGTCATTAATTTTAATTTGATCTGATCATTGAAAATACATGTATTGGATCGCAAAAAGGGTGAATTTGATTCACAAAACCTCTTAAATGGAACTATGCTTGCTTAATACAATCTCGGGTTTCTATATAGCAAAAAAAAAAAAGGTTACCACAAGCACATGTATAGAACCAGTCAACTAAGCTTTTCTCATTATATCTGGTCAGCAACAAACCGAAGTTATAAATAGATATAAAGACATAAACTATTTAAAGGAAAGGTCCAGATAAGGTAAGGTCCAGATAGAAAAAGTCCAAGATTTCGCCAAAACATCTACAAAATACTTTATTTACAGTTGATCCGCTTTTAACTTGATCCTGGCTACTGGTACACTATCCATTACTATCATAGAAATTGAAATGTTTATTCGTTTAATAAATGACAAATAAACGCAGTAAAATAACACAGTATCAACCCTGTAATCCATAAAATATCAAAGGGTTGGATGATCATATAACAATATTAGCATATAATTCAAGAAATTTCCCCATTACACCTGAGTAGCGCTAGATTGGTGACTTCAGCACATGGATCAACCGGAAGTGCCACATGTGCCGAAAGTAGGTGTAGACAGTACTAAAAATGGCAGAGAAAGGAAAGAATGAGGGTATATTTTGAATGTTGACATATCCAGTTTCGTACCGTTCGATGGAAGCCAGAATTGGAACAGGCGGAACACGTTCTTAACTAACCAATCGAGTGCTACCCATTACTGTTGACTCGACATATTTATGTACGCGAAATGTGTTACTGGTAGCTACAAGTTAAATCAGAAATAGGAAACAAGCTGGTACATTTATGTTGGATACAAAAAAATATTACATGCACAATCACATAAAAAGGCTATAAATTTTAACCCAACAGCCAATTAACCGAACCTGAGCGAAATGAGCCTTATTCAATGGTGTAAATAATTTATATTGAACTGAAATGTTTGTTGTATCAATCGTATTATCAAATGATATTAAAGGATCGCCAGACTGATATAAGATGTGTGGTTGAGTTGCGTTCGATATGATCATCGATATGATGAACTATTTCGATTGCTTTCACTTCAGTAGCATTTCATAAATTTGTGTTCCAAAAAACAGCCTATTTAAAACAACTCATAGATTGGGCTGCTGTTATCTGAATCGTTCATGTTAAAAATTGGTTTGGAATTGCCTCCTTATAAGTAGGTATAAAGTTTATAAACATAACATTACCTTCATTGAACAAAATTATTTTTAAATGCCATTGGGTTATTGGCCAGTGACAAGCAGCGGGATTTCTAAGTGAATGCGTATGGCGGGGGAAAGCAGCAAAAACCTACTGCTATGTAGAAATGTCTAATTCAAAACACAAATGTAACATAATGCAATACCAAATACCTAAAACGTCTAATTTTTGTCCAGAAACTAAGTATTGGTCAGGCTTTCATATGACATATTGGAAGATTTCTGGAAAAGGTTATAAAAGGTTGAAGTTTGTGATTTAAAATGGAAACAGATGGCAAATGAATTACTGGTGCGAGTCCATCTATTACATTCTGGCTATTATCAGTTGCTTCCCTTGAAGTATTGAAATTGAATTTGTGGTAAATCAAGTCACCCCCTGTTAGTCGTGTTTGTTGTGTATAATGAAAAGAAATGACGGGTGTGGCTTCAGGCAGGGTATACTTTCTGGACACCTGATACCACTTTCATTATGAAATATTTATATACTTCCGCATGTGAAAAGTTTATTAGCTGCTACCTAATAAACGTTTATCCAATGTTTTGGATTTCGGGTTTCGTTTTGCGGTTCGAATCGTTAATACTTAATTTGTTGACAGTGATGAGACATTGTATTTTGAAATGATTTTCTACATAAAAATATATACCAGTATCACAGATTTTATTGAATACTGAAGAGTAATAAATTAACAAATTATTATATACAAAAATATTCATTAAAATTCTATAGCACAAAATATAAAAACATAAATTATATCTTCATTGCTCAGAAAATACCAGAAACTTTAGTCTGTGGTGTATCTGAAATAACAGATCAAGATATAAAAGCATCTGACCCTATAGCAATTTAGATAAATCTATGAAAGCTAGATCAGATCAGCCCTTAAAAAAACCTATACGAACCAATAGATTATATCATTTGGATTCATATTTATAAGCAAGCAATTAATCTGAAAAAAGGCACTAATACCAATTTGGTAAATCGTGTTCTATCATGACCACGAATTCTTAGTTTTGAAGTACCAAGATCGTACCGATAACTTCTAAATCGAAAAGTTAAAAAACTACTTCTAAACACAACTTTTACATACTTAAGTTCAACTTAATATTTTGGGCGTACCATGATTTGTAAATGGCGATTTTATTTTGGCACTGTGAACTGAAAAATCTTAAATTTTTACGATAAGAGCTTAATTTGTCGTCAAGATCGAAAATATCACGCAATTACATAGCATTTGTCACACAATTGGAAAACTATATAAATAGGATGAATACAAAGATTATCAACGTAGTAGTGGTTTTCTACAAAATCTTTAAATTGGCACCTTTTGTCAAACACATATTATTAAATGACACATCTAATGGAAAGTGAGAAACATAGTTACTTAGCTGGATTTGAACTCCTATAAAAAATGGATAGCAACAAGGACAAACGAGGACAATTACTAGGCTTGAGAATCATGACGGGGAAGATCTGGGAAGTCACTAGTAGTAAATCGAGCAGTGGTAACTTCTACCTCATTATTAGGTCTATTAGAGGGTGGGGCTGTGAAGGTATACGTGCTGTCACCTGGACGAAGTGATTCCTGCGAAGTTCCAATAGTCCCTAGCATATCCGGACGACCATAGGCTAAACTTCTTGATGGACCAGTAGGATCAGACCAGCCGCTTTCCATTCTTTGGGGATCTTGTCTAATAGATGTCTCCTCTACTGGTGCCATTGGTTTGCGACCAGTCAGTTCCTTCAGCATCTGTTTGACGGCTTTCAGATCGTGCTTGAATGTTGTGACCATTGCATCTTGCTGGTGCTTCAATTCGCCGATCATTTCATGAATTCGGGTCACTTCAGTGTCAAATTTTTTGTTGGTGACAACATTGGCGGTTTTCTTACCGGTGGATCCTGGTTGCTTTAAGATTTCTTGTGGATCATTAGGTTGTTCATCGGCTTCACCGAAATGAAATTTCCATGAATCGTGGATCTGATCTAGCTGTTCCTTGATTTGGATTGTGACCTTTTTGATGTCTTCCTCTCCACTCTCGGTCAAATCGTCGTCATAGTAATCTTTCATAGGGGAACATTCAGCCTCGATATACCGAAGGAACTTCATTTTGCGCCTTTTGGACATTGAGTCCCAAAAACTTAGGATTGTAATTGCTCTCTGCATAACAGAATTGGCCTGTGCGTTGTCGTAAATACGTTGAAAAGTGTCGGACAATAAAGCAATGAACAGATTTAAACACAGAATGGATGAGACTGCCAACCAAGACCAGACCAATATTGTAGCCATAACAGAATCCACTAAATACATGTTATCAAAATCATAGTCATCAACCAAGGTAAGTCTAAAGATACTAAATAGAACCTGTCCGGGATATTCATATCCACTGACCACAATTCTTTCGCCTGCGTCTGGGTTATTAATGTCATCTTCTGCTCTCTTATCACCACCGAATATTATCCAAAAGGCACATACATAAGGTATATAGAACTCGAGATATAAAAATACAAATCGTAACAGGTCTTTCAGCATATGTCCTAACATCACAATAAATGGCCCAAGAAGTGTAAATGCACGGGCATTTTTCATTAGTCTTAACCACAATATAATTATGGTGAAAGACATGAAGCGAACATGCCACCGAGCTAGATGTTCAGAGTGGGCAATAACATCGGCTATATGGGTTGCAACGCAAACTGTAAGCAAGAAGTAACATGTCCAATCAAAGACGTTCCACATGTCACTAAAGTAGCTTTGATCAACTTCCTTCAGCATCTCCAGCTCACGATTAAGAAAAGCTTCTTCTTCTGGCCACCTCGGATGACAAAACTTCTTATCTTTTGCAATTTCTCTTTCGCGCCAAGATTTCCATTTGCTATGAGATACTTGGGATCTTCTATAATCCCTCAATTCTTCAACGACCTGCCACATTGTAAAACCAACTGCACAAATTAGAAGAAGGATTCTCCACCAATCTCCGGGTAGGATATAATTATGACGATCATCATACTCCACAACAACACCTATCACAGTCCATAACAGAATATAAACGAAGTTCAGTATCAGGCTCTTCCAAGCTCCAATAGCTCCAAATTTTGACCACATCACCTCGATCAACCGTTCAAAAACAGGGTGCATGATCAGCTGATATTGTCTATGGTTAACAGAAACAAGTAGTGGACTCTGAGCCTCACTATCTGCGTGCAGATATTGGTTGCGAACTAAATGATTTAAGTAAACATATTGTTTTCTGTTAGCTCGATCTATTGAACGAAACTGGTTTAAGGCTTCATGGGCTACAGGCGCCATTTTTGTGATCATAAGAGTTATGGTTTGTTGTCCTTGATTGTCGGTGACATTGATGGGTGCTCCTAAGGAAAGCAAGAGTCGTGCCGATTCACTACGATCAAGTTCAGCAGCTACATGAATTGGAGTTCTGCCCTTGTAATCCCTTACGTGTTTGATGTCACATCCCAATTTAGCGAGAGCTTTTAAAGATGAACAAGCGTCATTTTTGGCAGCGTAATGAACTGGGGTTTGTTCTTCTTCTAAGGTTTTGGATTCTTTGTCGGCTTTGAATTCGATGAGCAGGTTAACCATCTCTGGATAGTCTACAGCTGAAGCAACATGAAGCGGAGTTCGTCCATAAGCATCAGGTTTGTTGACGTCTGCACCATGCTCTAATAGAAATCGTCCAACATCAACATGCCATGCTCGAGCAACTTCATGCAGTATCGTTTGACCATACTTGTCCATACAATTAATATTGGCGCCAGAATTCAACAGACTTTCAATGAAATCTAAATTAACATATTCGTCATCATGATTGGCTTGTCCAAGTTTGGCAAAATACTGCATGAGAGCGCGGTTACTGGCAACCGCCATGTTGAGATCTTTACCGGTCTTGGCACCTGCAGAAAGCATTTCACCTTTCATGGTGAAGCTGTCATGGATATCTCCCAATCCGATGCCACCAGCCTGTGACTTCTCCATGCCGTCATCAGTAGAATTGCTCTGTCGTATTGATCTCCGTTTGTTAGCATAGGCCTGCCATCTGGATATACCTTCTTTAGCTGCAGTCAAAGCTCTGATTGTGTTGACTTGTGATTGAACACCATTTTGAAATTTGTTATATAACGGATTGGACCTGAAATGTAGAAATATAAAAATCTATAGAACTATGTTAAGAAGGAGTTCGCGAAATTGAAGAAATGTTATTTTAAAAATGCTTAGACAAGTAACCGAATCAAGTAGGATTTTTTAAACTTCGACTATTCTCTCGGAGAGTCTACATAGCTGATAGTGTTGATTTGGAATACTTGTTGCACATTAATAGGCTGATGACATCCAGGGTAGAAGATCGACTAGATTTAGCTTTATTATAATAAACACAGTGTGGGATAGCTGTAACATCGCAGAAGATCAAGACATATAAGAGATGTAAAGGAGTGAAGAAATTATCTAATTAACGAGTCAATTATTATTATACTGACTGTATAATATATCTTTTTCTTTCTGTGTTACTATTGTAAACCAAAGATCGGTGTTGCGAAATAGTACTGATGAAATCTATTTTTATCAGTAGGATTAGTACTATATTACAGTTTACAACACAAATCCTTATTTATCACAGTTTTTGGACATTCTAAGGGTGCAGAAAAGTAGGACGTAAAACTCCATTCCTTTCCTTTCCTTTTGGACATTCTAAAGATAAAGGAGGGTTGGAAGTTTGGATTCCATTCCAATTGATCAGGCTAATAGTAATAATTGAATACGGCCAAATATTTAATGCACGAAAATTTGGATAAGTTCGAAAACAAAAACGCGGGGATATACCGGAATGTAGAATGATTTGGCATCATGTCTAAAGATTATCAGTGGATATTAAATAATTGGATCATTTCGTTCGCTCGTATTACATGTATCCCTGTCTGACCTTAATTCCTTTTCTAACCAAGACAGAAAAGTTCATAAAGAAAAGATTCGAGAGTTTATTCATATTGAATCTTTAAGGTAATATAATTAACAATATAACCCCTTAACAACGTCTGTACAAATATCTTCACCATAAAATACATAAACAAATAGCCAGTATATATACTTTTATATTTCAATGAATGAATGAATGTCGAAATGAATATCGAATTGAATGAATGAATGTCCAAATGAATGTTTAAATGAATGAATTCATGAATAAATGAATATCGAAATGAATGAATAAAGATCACAAAATAATCCAAATAAATTCCCAAAATATTGCTTTGCAGTGAAGGATATAATATGACGTCTCTAAACCTCTAAATTGCGAATAAGTTATGGTATTGTATTTATAACATTCACAAACCCCATCATGAACGAACGTGAAAATTCTGCCATCACCGTGAATATATGAAAATGGAATAACAAAAGTGTAAGTGAACGACATTCTAAATCTAATATTCTGAATTACCTTGTCAACTGATCAGTAGAAGCCTGTCATTACACAACAAATGGCTAAGTATTATACAAAATCAGAATGCATGACGAGCATGACTTGCTAACAGAGGATCGAAAACTATTAAATTTTTAAAAATATACTTGCTAACAGAGGGTCGAAAACTATTGAATTTTTAAAGATATACAATTAGCCGAACATAAAAGCCGGTATCCATAGACATGTTTACACGGATCGATACATGTACGTTGTATTTAAAGACTTACTTCACGCTATCCATCTCAAAAGCCACGTTTTCCAGTCCTAAACGGCTATCATCTTCCGAAGATGGAGTTATTTTAGATTTCTTTTTCTTTCTATACAACTGCTCCATAATTATTCAGTGAAAAACTCCATGCAGGTCATTTCATTTCTAAACCGTCGAGACCTCTTGTTTAACCGCCATTACATGTTTGTGATATGACCACTTATTGTTTACATGGTTACCATTAGCAACCAGGTGTAAAGCGGCCATATATATCATTGTACAAGCGATTTATTTATTATGTACATTGACAACCCCTTGGCTTACATATGATTGAATATCTATTGTATTATATATCAGACGTATAGCCTACCCTTCCCTTGTTGTTCAGTTTAACTGTGTGTAGCATTGGCTACGATATACTGTGGGCCTACAAGGTCGTAGATTACTTCTAAATTGGGTTGATTAAATTCTTTGATAAAATTTGCGGAACCATGACCGTGATAATGTCATAATATTTTTAATGAGCGTAAAAGCTGAATATTTGTTGGTTGGTGTTCAATTTGTTTGCAGAACCATGGCGTTGAAATGTTTTTCTTAAATAGATTGTAAAGAAGTTTTCAAATTTTTAATGTGTATTAGGGGGACTGATAATATCACATTTTAGGACCAAATTTTCAATCTGTGGTTCCTGCAATTACACTTAAACTAAGTGTTTGATGTCGACACTAATCGCAGTGTTTGCTTAGAAATTCCTAGTTTGAAATATATTTGAAGGAATTATGCGATTTTCTGAACGACTGAAATATATTCAACACCCAATTCACCAGCACCCCCTCCCCCTATCCTTTTAATGTATAAAATCTAGATAATGTGTTGGTAAACGAATCTTTGTGTTTGGGCAGGTGGAGGTTCGTTTGAACACTCCTCATGTAAATCCCTCTATGCTACAAAATCAATTCTTCTGAAGTGAAATTATTTATTATTAAATTATCTAAATCAATGATTGATTATCATTGATAGTGAAGACGTGTTTTTACCTTTACACTTCAGGCCTGCACATGAAATACCTTAAGACAAAATTGCCCGATCCTTATTTTGTCTTTCTAAAATGTTACATGTACTCGCATTTTGTTTTAATACTGTTTGTTTTAAAGACCTAATATCGGCACAATAGTATTGGTACAATAGTATTGCAACGGTATATAGACATTATGCAATAATGGTATCGTCCGTTTTTTTACATTGATACCGTCATTTATCTACCTTGGTTAATGTTTGAAAGCTTTCCTTCGTTTGAGGCAAAGGGAGGTAACTGAGTCATAGCCTACAGACGATAAATAGAACTGCCTAATTTGGCTGCTGGTCAAAATCGTTAGTGAGGCTGAGTCTTCATGCTTTTGCGCCATTTTTAGTCAGTGTTCGTTTGGTCATCGGCCTGTTAACATTAAATAAGATTGTAATCAACATTGTATAACTTTGTTTTTTATCGTGTCATCGCCATCAGTCATGTTCTTCGCAGCCCCACGAGAAAAGTAAATATTAAGAACAATCAAAGGGTCTTGGTCTGAAGTAATACGAGTAGGCTTACTTAGATATGATAACCAAACTTGAGGATTTCTTCCATACTAAATCAAAATTTAAATCGTCGATCAATAAGTTCTTGTCGAAAATGGCTGGAAATGAAAGGGCTAAATACATGGACTACAGACTACATAAAATTAATGTGGCTAATCTAGTTCATACATTCTTAATATTATTAATATGAATGTCCCTAGGCGAGTGAATTTCATGTAATTTGTATTGATTTAAATGATATTACCAGAAGAGAGACATTGAAATAGCAATCACAAGTCTAGGTCTACGAGCCGATGAAATGATCAAATAGCCATCCTGCGTCTAACAAGTTTAGGATTTGATTTCAATGAAAGCATTTTTACATTTGATTTGGTCTCCTAATACTCGTATAATTACAACAATAATTGTACGAAATAGGATCACGCTGTCTATATGTTAGACTAGATTCAACGAAGCTAAATTTCAACAGGAAGGTAGTTGAATTAGGTTTAAAAACTTTGACCACATACTACTTAAAACTTAAATCACCTCCACCCACCTTTACCACATCCAAATCCCCATCTAAATAAACACACTTCCCTCCAGGAAATTTCATGTGTAAAGGACCGACTCTTCGAACTGAAAATTCTTTTCTCTAAATTCATATTTTCAAATAAAGAATTTTTAACTTGGCACATTATTGAACTAAAAAAGGGTTTTCAACCTGAGGGTAATTACCTGGGGATAATTTTGACATTTTTGGGGGTAAGTAAGGCGCTTTGTAAGCTAAAAAATATATTTGGACAACAATTAAAACTGAAGTTGTTATTTTAAGTCAGGTTATATTCTCCAACACGAAATAGTAGGATTTTTAGGGGAAGTGGGTAACGTAATCAACGAATCTGAACGAAAGAAAGAGAAAGGTTAACCCCTGACCCAAAACAAAGCAAAATACAATTATGTAAACATTGATTTAGGACAGAAGAGAATTTGTAAGGGTAAATTATTTTTTTACAAATATAAAATTTTATAACAGTGACAGACCACACAAAATTGTTATTACTTCCCTTTGACCACATGAAAGCTATGTACGTGTACTGTACTACTCCGTACTTGATAGTAACATAAATATAGCTGACCACTGAAACTAGTGATTTATATTTAAAGAATTCATAAGGCCAAAAAAAAAACAAGCAGATAAACTCAAGAAATGAGCCTTCTGCCATCCTGGGTGAAAATCTAACACAGTTTTCCAAATATTCAAGGTAGTGGTTATTTACTACGTATGTAAAGTTATGGACCATTTTCAAGAGGTTATTTGCCTCATAAATTTTACCTTGTAAACCGGAAATGATACATTTTTACTAACATTTGTTAACACGAGTGATCTGTCTTTGCACCGATTTCAGATCAATCGGATAATAAACCGCGGATATAAAATAAAAACAGTGTCAAAATTTACAAATTTCGGTTATAACCGAGTAAGTGAGTAAGTATTTCATAATGAAAAGTGAAAAGCCACAATCGACCAGTTAAAAATGCTGTTAGCTAAATCAATAGTGGAAAAAAAGAAGAACAAATCGAAATCAGTCTGGGACACACAAAAATCACTTCCCATGACTCATGATAAAGAAATGTTCTGAACGTTTGCAGAAAAAGCTATTATTTGAAGCTTGATACGAAACTTTGATTATTTGCAGGTTGTGATGAATATAAATTGCCGTTAAACTTTGACTAGATGTCGAGAGGCTGTGATGAAATAAACGGTACAGATGTCTAGTAGGACACAAGGCAGAAGTACTATTTGTAAAATTTCTAGGACCGACATGTATGTTTTTTCTATATAATTATGGCAGTCTGAAGATAATTCTGGACACATGGACACAGAATCAAATTTCGACGATGAGCCGTGAACCGTTCATCGAAAGTTCCTCATATTCGAACTTGTCCAAGATCTCATCAATGTAAATGATCTCACCAAATTTCATTAAAATCAAATAAAAACTGTAGTCTCTATTGTGTTCACAAACAAATTTTGACGTGTTTTTTTGGCGTATAAAAATAAAGTGGGGGTACAACTGGGGCTACAAACCATTGCACCTACCCCTGTTTCCCCACTATATGACTATAAGAGATTTTTTCTCGCATGTAAGTCGATAAAACCTTTACCAGTAGATCCTCGTCACATTTCTAACATTTTCTTTGAATTTTTAACAAACACATTATGTTTCCATTGATACTTGCACATAATTGTTTTTAATTTTGTTTCTTTTCACAATATACAATGTATAATATACAGAGTATCAGAGGTTTTGATCTTAGTGGTCCTTCAAATAGGATTCTATTTCAAGAATCATCTTGTTAGTTTTGTCAAGCACATATATTGACCAGTGGCTCAATCACCAACCGGCCACCAAGCCAGAAAAAAATACAGAATCTTCCATAAACATTCATTGAATTGACTTACAGAGGGTTCTCAGAATGCAGGACAGCCCTAAAAACAGTTAATACCACGGTTCAACTAATATGGTTGATGACTGATATTTCTACCAGACATCACGTATACGTCATTTCAAAACAGGACTAACACTTTTTGTATAGTTTTGTACCGACACAATATGATCATCGAACTAAGGATCGGGTTGAATTAATTGGTGGAAGGACCAGAAGATGCTGTGGTTTATCATGAACACTTGAAATATTATTATTTCCAACTGGTGGAGAAGGTGCTTTCTGCACAATAATTGCAGGTAGCACGTTCCTCTGACGCTTCATGATGGCGTCAAGAGTTTGCAGCGATTTGTTATAATCTACTATATTGCCGTTTAGCTTCCATAACTTTTTAGTATTTTCTACTTCGCGTAATCGTTTCGTTCTTGGATGATTTTCCATTATCACATTACGAACATCCAATTTCATGTCATCGATTTTCATTCCGTTGTAGACACCATTCTGAAATGTAGGCGACATTAGTGATTTTGTCCGTCGCCTATTTAAACACACTTGTAGTCCTTTATGTTCGAGTAAAGATTTTTTATAGGTCATAGAACGTTTCCAGTAAGAGTAATTTTCAACCTCCGATTCGCGTTGTAAGCAATGGTCGAGTTTCAGATGTATTTTCTTCAGTTTATCGTTGGTTATAGTAAGTCGTTTATGACATAAATTCCTCTGTTTTCCGACTTCTTTCAATCTTGGGTTGTTTAGTTTGGGCAATAGAACTTGTTGATCCATAATTGTGTATCATGCCCACCGAAATTCTGTCCTAATGAAATATCCGAAACAAATCGTGATTTTCACAGCTTGCTGAAATAAATTAATATATCAAGTTTACACATGTGCACTTGCAATTCGTCGGAAATCACGCTTTTTGGAAATTTACAGACTAGATCTTGAGCTAACAAATGAATAATAATTCGTATTGCATAGACGATAACAATCTAAGAATAAGATGTAAATAATTCTACGTAGAAAATACATCACAATAATGATATAGTCCACTGCAATAAAAAAAATCATGTGGTCAGTAACAGTAAAGTAATGTAACAAAAACTGCACAGAAACAACAAAATTTTGAAGAAGTCCTTATTCCGCCCGCAAAATTTCAAATTCCTAAAATCCGTCATAATAAAACAACACTGTATATTAAGGTATTACGAATATCAATAAACTGCAAAATAAAGTCTCTCGAAGGTCAAAATGAATCATTAACTTACATGTTGTGTTGTCCAAATCACAAACTCACGAACTACAAATACTTGATTAAAACCCCTTCTTTACTTGACAATTTATCTTATGTGTATTTAATTGAAATGAAATATCTGCTAAGATTAGTTGAAAAAATGATAAGTATAATAATAAAGCCAGAACACAAACATATATCTATGTATATCTTTTCGTTATGTATTTTTCAAGGTAAAACGGTCAATTTAATAAACGTTATACCAGATTTTTTTTCAGAGCACAGTTTTGAGAGGCAAAACTTTCTGTTCTTTATACATACATTGCAACCCATTGATAAGATACGTAATGTATGTGATGCTATTCATATAAACACTTGCATCCGATGAAATTAAAAAGGGATAGATGCGCCATTTTTTTTAACAATCATACCTTATCCTTAGACACGGAATTTTTTTTTAGCAATGCCAAAGCCTTTGAAAGTTAAAAAGTCGAGTCGTCTTTTCTTGAGATACTGCCACATTTTGAAAAAAAAAACATCTATAGAAATAAGAAACGAAATTCCCAGTTTGATATATTTTTGAACGATTTATGCGATTTTCGTACATGTCTTGTACTTCTGAAGACCATTTACATATGTAAGACTCAAATTAAACCCAAAATGGCGCAGCTATCCTTTTAAGTCCAATTCTTGTCAACACAGACGGACAACGTCATGCATTGTGTAACGTGCGGAAATTGCTAGGGCATAATCTCTGTTGATTTCATACTGGCGAGAGATAGTCTCTAACATAGTTCATGTTATCCAAGCAACAAAGGCTATTTCCATCCCATTACCCTTCGACCAGAGTTAGAGGAAACCGGGTGCGTGAGGACATCATCTCGACCTTAACCAGGATCGAGCCACAGCCACAGAAAAAGTTTTACTCGCTGAAATTAAAATGAAATTTTATTCTACGTCCAACTTTTCTGCGTTTGATAGGGTTAACAAACAACAAGCAACGGTTACCCAATACCCAGGACTAGGGCATTAGCTTAGTCCAATAATCGAGGGATGTTTTACTCTATCATAGCGTGACGTTAAAACTAGTATATTAAATTGCATGACAAACGAGAAGGTGGTAATTGTGTTTAGATAAAGTTTTAAATAAATACCCTTATAACAATAGAATCTAATATCTCATGAACAATAGATCTATAATAAATATCTTTTCACGTCACTAAGATCTTGTTATAAGTCATTTACTTCAAGTTCACGTATTTCTTTATAGCTTATCTTAAACTAGTCGACAACCAAGATTCAAAAATATTTTAATCTATAAGTAAATGCATATGCACACAAGCTTTTGTTTTGTCGTAAGTCTACATACGAATACCTTTGTAACTCTGACGTAGGTATGGGCTAGGGCAACATTTCGCTTTACAGCATGGGTTCGTTTGGAGCTTGACCATTAATGTTTGAATTCAGTTGCCTCCCCCCCCCCCCCCTCACATTATGGTGAATATTTAGTCTTATAGGTCTTGTTGTATTCAATGTCTCAATCTAATGGGCTTCCCTAGATTAACAGAATTTGGTAGTTTCATCTTCGGGCAAGTCAATTTCTATACGCTCAATTAGGATTAGGATGAGATCGTCTATTGAATGGTCGTCGAGGTTGAAATGATTAGAAACAGGCTTGCCTTTCTTTAATTTAATATCCGACCTATGAGCATTAAAGAACTGAAATGATAATATTTTTCATAGTAAACTAAAAACAATCAGTACATAACAGATACTATACTTCTCGTCCATTGGGCGAGTTATTTTTTCTAATTTCAGATCAGAATAAGAACAGAAGAAAACCCAATATCAAGACCCTTAATCCTAATTTCTAATTATAGTTATGGCCATTTTAGTTCAGGGGTGGGGGTCGGCAGTCCGCCTATAGAGTCTAGATGCACTGCTCGGGGTTAAGACCAAAAATTTGACAGGCTTCTGTTCGAAGACTATCAGAACTCGAAAGCTGACATTTGCACTGAAGGTACACATCCATCGGAAGTTGCTGTGTTGTAAATTTCAAGTTCTCACCATGTTAAACTCCCCCCCCCCCCCACCTCTTCTGTTTGAATCATTTCTATACGTGCAATTACATGCACCTCGGCGTGCAAGTTATTGAAGTCTTCGTGAAATACTGAGAGTAGTGGGTGATGGGTGTGGGCATGCATGCCATGACAGAAATAATTTGTATAAGTGCGTTACTTAAGCATGGACATGGCCCATAACGCCGCTCTCCCCTACGAAGTACATTGAACGCCACATGTCGACTTCAACAAAGATACACCAAAGAAACTAAGTGTAACAATGTATATTATTAAATTTTAGTGGCTAATCTCTTTGATGCAAGTGGGATCAAATTCAGTAACAATTTAAATTTTTTTGTTCTGATATAGGCTACAGTTCTTACCCAGGTTCTTCATTCTGGTGTACTTGTTTTACATTTGACGAACATGTGAAAGAAGGACTACCCTCTTACAACCAAATGATTGGAGTGAAATGCGCGTGCCACTTGGCTTTAAATTAGTCATATCCTGCCTGTAAAGACTAACATGTAAAATCATACCATTATTCAGTTGCATCAATCGCAATGTCGGGCTCTTCATAAATTCTGTTTCATTTCAAATAGTATTGTCTAAAATCAAGCCTAAATGATATTTCGTCGCATTAGTTGATCAATCCAACAGGCCTACAAGACGTGTACGTGGATCACAAATTTCGTTGTTTCTTATAGCAAAAAACTTAAAGTAGGTTAGGCCTACGTATTTGATTTTTTAGCAAATTTACCCAATATTTTAATATCTAATTCTGTTTCCCGGGCTTCCTACAAGCTCTTTAGAAAACTAGATTCATTCCCTTTCATAGGGAGAGGGCGGCAATTTTTTTAAGCGAGGCTCAACTATATGCCCCGAAGTCGTCACAATTACTCGAAATCGTCAGTTCTATTTTGTTCAGCAGCCGTCGTCGAGTTTTTCAACTACTTGAACACCCTTATGCAAGTAATGGTATAAAAAACATGGTGCTCACTACTTCAATTTTTTTTTTTTGGTTTAGCTAAGCTCTCTGGAAAGTTCAGTTTAAGGATCCAAGACAGAAGGTGTCCTTTACTGATTTTGAATCAACAATCAAGCTTTTATAATACATGGAATGTGTAGTATTAGACCATTAGTGCCATTTTATATCATAAATTAAATAGGTTATATATTTGAAAGTTCCTTTATTGAACAGTTAGCAGAATACATTCAAGTGTGTTCTGCATAATATAAATTATGCAATGTAGCCTACATAAAATTGTAGAAAAACTGAATAGCACAATGATTTATTTGCATAGCAGTTGAAAATATCCAGTCACATTTTTTCAACTAGTCGAGATTTTTATTGTTCAACTAGTTACTTAATGTAGCTCTGCATTAAATCTATCCATTATACGATCCTTACTTATTCAATAAGTAACTACTAATAATTGACTACGTAATATCCAACGGTATCGAATACAGCGTTTAGTTTACTGACATGCGCACTACTATCTAACTTTGCTTCCTGTTTAGAAAATCGTGTAGGGGAAAAACATTATTTGTTACAGGTGTCTTGTTCCAGATTAAAAACATAAACATGACGTCTGTCGCAAGGGATGAAAAAGAAAGGAAGAAAAAGCGACTGATTAAAACAGAAACCTCAACCCCAGAGGTTAAAAAATCTAAAGTAAATGTCCCTTTTTTCCAGTTCCTTCGCTTTCCTTTTCTCAATTTTGTCAGTGAACAGATTTAAAAATGTCACAGACTGTATTCCCCTTTGCTGATGAATGATGACAACATCAATGTCACAGAATAGCGCTGAATATGGGCTATTTATGTATAGTATGAAACTTTCCAGAAATCAGTTCGCACAAAAAATTCCATTCAATAAAAGGTATACTTAATAGGCCTAGCAAAGAGTGTCCACATTTTAAGTTACAATTTGAAACTCAACAATGATAAGGAAACAAATGGACATCTGTGACGATAGCTTTTGCCTGCATCAGATCTTTGACAATGCTAAATAAAAAAGGGTGTATGACAATCCATTTAGGGCCTATGCCTTTTCTATAATGATGGTTAATATTTTCAGGAAACTGTTGCTTTGTTTTATGCTGAAGAAGCAGAAGTTGATAAAAGAGACCCGGAAACAGATTTAACTTTGTTTCAAGGTGCTTGTGGTGTTGTGAGAGAAGCTGTCAATGATATACAAAAAATGAAAACTCATGGAAAAACTGTAAGCCATTAAAGCTTATAGAATATTTTCATTCAGATTGAATGTTTTTACATACATTTCTCTGGTATTTGTTTGTGACATGTATACCTCCTTTATATGCCTTCTGTTAAGCTTCTTGAACATGCTTGATAGTTTTTGTGCAAGAGGTATCAAAAATTGTGTCGGGTCAAGTTTGTCTTGAATTACGGATACTGGCATTACTAGGAAATTTGAAGGATGCATTAAAAGGTTAAGTACTGTAGTCAATTTGTTTACCAGTAGTAACAGGCATTACAACAAAAGATCTCTTAAACACTAAACAATTCTATGTTACAGAATAAAAGTGAACTAGAAGAAAAAAGAGCTGATGCTGTAATACAGTTTGTTACATTAAAGAAGATAAATAGATTGTCTCATTTTAGATGCCGTAAAGTTAGAGATTCCACTAATGAGGTAAAAATCGGTTGATATCTTGATTCTGATTTATCTTAAAGTGACAGACAAGCGATCAGTTTAACCAATCAAATGTTAGTCTCCGAAACTAGAATTTCTTAGCTAAGCTAGTCAGTAATAATGTTCACAGCTTAAAGTCGAAATTTAAGCCTTCAAATTAGTGTGTGTTTAGAATTATCTGCATTTGAAAGTTTATAAGACGTCTGATCTTTTGTTGAGACTCTCTCATATATTAAGACATGATTAGTCAGATTATGATATTTTTTGTCCATTCTTTCTTAGTGTCATCTTGTCTTTTAGGCCAAACAGAGAATAGACAAGTACCATCTTCAGTTACAGAATTTGTTATATGAAGCTATGCATTTACAGAAAGAAATTAATAAATGTTTGGAATTCAAGTAAGTATTAGGGACATAAAAATATTGTACAATGTTATAGTTCATAAAATACAGATGAAACCAGGGCAATTGATTGGAGTTCCAAAATTTGATCTGGAGGAAATGTGCTGGATTTTCTGCATTTTTCATGAAGATCTTAATTTACATTTGAAAGTGTCTGGTTGGAAATTTATGTAATAAACAGCCCCAAATTAGACCCTCTATTGACATTTTTGTTAAAGCCATTGACCTTTGGGAGGAGGCCATTGAGAAGAAGTACTTAGTTATAATTGCTTTTTTTATATAAAGCTGGCACATATCCCCTTGAAATGAGAGTTACCTTGTCATGTTTTGATTTCAATGAATCAAACTATATACACATGCAATGGCAATGATATGTTTAAAATCTCTGGCTCTTACAGAATTTATTTATAAAATTTATTTTAGATCTAAAGATGAAGAAATAGATTTAGTACCTGTAGAAGAGTTTTATAAGGAAGCTCCAAAACAAATATCAAAACCAGTAAGTTATGGCAGTTAGTGTTATTAATCGAAAGTCGTTAGGAGTTAAATTTCATATCCATATCATTTTCAAAGTTGAAATCTGGCTTATTGTTCTCGAGCGGTTAAACAAAAACAGTTATTAGAAAGTAGACTTGATTTTTATATAAGGGACAAGCTTGCATTCAAACAATCATATTTTTGTCTCAGAAATGGGAATATTTTAGCTAAGCTTATTGGTAATGCTATTGACAGTTGCACAGCTCACCGTCAATATTTGAGTCTTGAAATTCTGGTGTGTCCAGAATTATCTGTATTGAAAGTAAGATGACAAAAATTTCTAGTGTGAGGTCAGGTACATTCGAAGTGATAATTCTATTTTTATGCAGGTCTAGTACTTCTGAAGACCATTGACATATATTCATATTAAAATATATTCAAGACCCCAATAAACCATCAAATGGTGAACTATGGCCTTTAACATTCTTCTATGCAATTATTACCAATATTGTTATTGCAATGACAATCTGTTATTACAGGAAACAACTAAGAAAGATGAACATCAGTTGACACTCGCTAGATTAGATTGGGAGTTAGAACAAAGACAAAGGTAAATAAAGATTTATAAATTCAAAGCAAACACACGGAACATATATTGATTTGTTTCTAGATTTATGCTAAAGCCTGTTTGATGCTAAACTAATTTGAATTAGATAAAAAATTTGTTTCTTTTAGTTTTCTGATATTTTTAGTCTCTGTATTGTAATCTAAAGTTAAAGAAACTGATAGAGGTATCTAGTAGTAAAGATGAGATGTTAAATGTTACAGATTATCACATGAAAACTCACTCAGATTTTCAGATTATCAAAGAGGTATCCAGTAGTATAGATGGGACATTGATTTTTCAGATATCAATGAAACGAATAGAAATATCTAGTAGTTAAGATAACATATCTTAATTTTCAGATTATCAAAAAAACTGAAAGAAGTATCTAGTAGTAAAGATGAAATATTAAAAGAGATTGATACTAAACAAGAATATTTAGACAGTCTACAACCTAAGTTAAACTCTATTTTACAAGTATGTCTTTCTATAAAACTTTTCTTCAATTCTTTCTTTGTTTATTGTTGCATTAGTAACAGAATTTCACCTATCAACAGGACCTTTCAAAAATATTATTGCCCCTGTTCTCTTTAAGAAATGAAATTAAGCTTTATCAGCTTTTCATGCATTTATCCCCTTATCCCATATTGTCTGACCCATTGTGTTACTGAATTTTAGAAAAACTGCTTTGCATATTCATGTACTTTTTTCTCAAATTTTATCACTCAAGTTTTCTGTAGGTTATTTCACATTTTCATATCAATAGCTGTATTTAAGTCATTTAGGCATTTGATTTGAAAGTTAACTGAAAGTATTCTTTTAGCATACATTGTAATATATGGCATCCATGTTAAAAAAAATGACTTTTTGATTTTCAAAAAAAATTAGTCAGAAATATCCGTATAGATTTCTTTTCTTGGTAAGGAGATCAATAGCGACCAACTTTTAATATGATGAAAAATTGGTAGCACAATATATAGATGAATTGATACATGGCGATACGACATACCACGATATGTGTAGTGTATTGTATCCTTTGGTCATGTAGATACAGTTAGATATGTAGATACGATATTGGGAATTCTAGATGAACATGTTTTCACATATAACTAGACCTCATCCGAATACATAAAAATCTATTTTCACAAACATAAATATGGCAACAGTTAGTCTGTACCTATAGACAATAGTTTACTAGTAATAATTCTGTTATTAATTGAAAATATACAGTAGTAAATAATCATTGAAACTTGGAAGATAAAGCTGCACTTTTTCAATTGTAACTTGGCATGGCCGGTAATACCCAGCACTATTATAAATCTTTTGCTTATGCTCATTTTCCAGGCAACCAAGCCAGTGCAGACATACCTAAAAATGCCATATGATGAAACTAAAGAACAACATTCTACAGCATTACATTTACCACACCCATTGTATGTTTTATACATGCAGTCTTCAGCTTATAAAGATGCTTGTGGTATGTAGTCGCTTATGGTATTTCCCTCATTGATCACTGCATGAAGTTTTCTTTTTTTCCTAAACCTATAGCAAAGAGAAAGGAAATATGTAATGACCTCTTAAAGTTATACTACCTCTTATGATGACCCAAAAATTTGTTAAAATAGGTCTTTGTTCATCAGTGGACTTCTCTTAGATGGCACTGGTTGCTAGCAGTTGTTGAAAGTTCAATATTTCACAGATTCTGCTTGTTGCATGGCTGACCATAGCTACTTTATTTATATGCACAATTTCCATCACATTAAAGATTTTTAAGATTTGTTTCTGATATTAAAGATGTATGTATTATGTTTGTAGATAAGAATTTGAAAGTAACAATAGATGGAGATATACATTCAGCTAAAACTCTAGATATGTCAGTACAAGAAATAGGTAAAAAAAAAAATCAAATCTGTAAATTATATCATATGAAAATTATATTGTATGAAAATTATATCATATGAAAATTATATCATAGAAATTATAGCATATGAATATTATATTGCATGAAAATTATATCATATGAAAATTATATCATAGAAATTATAGCATATGAATATTATATTGCATGAAAATTATATCATATGAAAATTATATCATAGAAATTATAGCATATGAATATTATATTGCATGAAAATTATATCATATGAAAGTAATATCATAGAAATTATATCATATGAAAATTGATATACAAAAATATAAAAATCATATAAAATTATATCATAGAAATTATAGCATATTATTATGAACATTTATATCATATAAAAATTATAACATTATATATATATATAGTATAATTATAGCATATTAAAATTTATATCATTTAAAAATTTATATAAAAAATATATCATATGAAAATCATATCATATATAAAAATTATATCATATAAAAATTATATCATGTAAAAATTATATCATATTAAAATTGAATCATTTGAAATGTGCGAAAATATCTCTGCATGTGTTTTAGCAAAATAATTACTGCTAAAGTAGAATTAAGGATAGATTATAATTTATTTTCTAGAAGAAGATAGTGACAGTGATAATGAAGAACATGAAAAGAAAACAGTAAGTCTATTGTGTATGTTATTTAGAAGAGAAACTTGGATTTGTGGGTAATGCTAGGGGGAGACAAAATTTTATGCTCGAACATGTCAAAGCTGTGTAGGTTAATTTTATACCTTAGTCTTGAGGAAGTTTTGCTTACTAGACACTGAATGGTGTTAACCGTTTTCATTTACTTGCATAATTAGATGACTATAATGTTGTTTTTCAGAGAAGAAGG